TACCCATTTAAAATGGAAAACGCATGCACACAGCTGTTTTGGAGTTTAATATACCTCCTGTGTGCCACACTGTGCATCCCACTTTTAGGCCTTATTGCAGCTTGAGTCTAGAGAGCAGTCTAGAGAGACAGAAGGGTGATGGGTGGGTCCTGAGGAACACTGGCAATCTTTGCAAGGCAGCTGCTTCTTCAAGGCAACTGCAGTTTCAATCAGCATAGCTGCTGATTTTGCCAGATGCTGGCAGAGTGGCTGCTTCTATTGGCAAACAGATTTGTGGACCATGTAGCGGTGTCTTGTTGGTGGACCTGTAATGGTGGCCACACCCCCTTGGGCGTGGCTTCAGGTAGACTGGCAAACAGATTCAGTGTCCCTGTCTGCATCCTAATCTTCCCCCAGATGTTCTCAGGCCACTTTACAAGCTTGTGTTCGTCACTGCTCTTACTGCTGTGAGTATCTGAGATTATCTGACGGGGGCAGTCTTTGGATGGAAGAGTCTGCTTCAGCCTGTGGTTTGAGGGGACTGGCCATCATGGTGGGGAAGGCGAGGAGGCACACACCCGCGCATGCTGATCCCATCGCGTTCACAGTGGCGGAGTGGGGAGAAATGCGTGCCGGTCCTTTCCCGCCTCCTTTGCAGTCCTCAGCCCAGGAGAAATTACTGCCCACATTCAGGTGGTGCCTCCTTCTCAGTAAAAATCTCTCTGGCATGGTGCCCTCTCGACAGCCCTGGGGCTGTTTAGAAGTGGTTCTAAACTTCACCAAGTTGACAATGATGATTACGCTATTCACTCCTTGACTTTCCCTACAGCTACTTTGCAAGGCTGAGAATTCGATTTGTCTTGTAATTCTGCTTTTGGCAATCTCTGCTCGGAGGCTGAAGATTAGGATCTCCTCTGGGAGAGATGTAAGATCTATGGGGTCATTTGTACTATGCGTGAGATGCACAGTCAAATTCTAGAACTCTTTTGCCTTTAATCTGTACAGCACAATGAGAAATAACCAGCTAACGTCATTTACTCATTAGTTGGCAACAAGCAGGCAAAACAAAACAAAAAACCCTCTCAGCTATCAAATACTCAGAATACTGACTTCATACATGCTTGATTAGGAGTGCACAGGAGCAGTGTGTTTGCATCTGTATCATCTGGATTACCACTGATCTTGTCATTGAAGGACACTGTCGATAATGCTTCTATAGGTAGTCAGGCTAGAGAGCCATTTTAATTCCAGAAGCCCCCACACCAATTCAGTGAATGAGGTCATTAGAGTCTGTCCCTCAAGTAAGCTAACTGTATCTGCACTGACAACCGTTTGAAAGAATCTAGGATCTGTGTTTGACTCCAGAGAAACAGATCCAGCACATGTGGACAAGCACGCACGCACGCACGCACGCACGCACACAGATTTAGTTCACACAGTTGCACATTTGGCCTGTAAGTTCAGAATCTGTAAGGAAAGCCAGTAGGCTAGAGATCTAGGAAAGACATTTTTGTAGCTTGAATCTAAAGGCTGCTTGTAGGCAGGACATCTTTATGGGAACAGTCTTTCTTCTGTAAGGGCCTTGACCTGATTTGATAAAGCCCATCATGGAATATAATCTGCTTTTCTTAAAGTCTACTGTGTGTGTGTGTGTGTGTGTGTGTGTGTGTGTGTGTGTGTGTGTCTATACGTGTGTCTGTTTGTGTGCGTATGAGATGGAAGGGATTATAATAAGATCAGGCTGGCCCAGAACTTACTGTATAGCCCAAAATGACTTGAATCGTGCAGGAATTTTCCTGCTTCTGTCTCCCAGAGTTCTCAGATTACATCATATGCACTTGGTCTAGCAATTCTACTTATTTGAATGTTAATTTCATATAAAATACATTTTAGCAACATTGATATTGTTATTTGATCAAATATCTGGCTGCCATGACCTGACCTGGCTGACTCATAAAAACAATAGTCACAGAGATGAAGAACATTTCTTCAGAAAGCTGTAAAGGTGGGAACTTAATCTCCAAACAGAGGCTTGGTAGGACCACAGGGCCAGGAAGGATCCCTGAACAGGCAGACAGGCTTGGTGGGGCTACAGGGCTGGGAAGGCACCCTGGTGGAGATAGCAGTAGATTATCCATGTCTTTGTCCAGGTGCCCAGCACCAGCTGGCAGAGTGGCATTAGGCAAATTTCTCATACATTACTCCGTGGGGGTAGGGCTCTTTACACTGTTACTAATGCTCTAATTCCTCGTCTGGACTCTTTGAAGTTGGGAATGCATATTTCTATAGTCTTCTGCAATGCAGCACCTAGCCATGATACCATTAGGTACAGTAGAATGTTGTCTGCTGGGCTGGTGGATATGGATGGGAGGCAGGGGTGACAGCACACTCTCTGGTCTGCCACTGTGTCTCTCAGAAAAAGCCACAGAGCCTGTTGGATTCCCAGGTCATTTGTTAATGAGGAAACCAGCCTCATTCCACTCCTTCAGTGAGTTTATGACTTCAGTGATAGCAGGGCAAACATTTGCTCCTCATTATCATTCACACTAAAAAGCCCTATCAGAGTTTGTCCCCATAGGGCACTGGCACACAGCCTGCCTGAGAATGAGAACAGAAAGCATGGTCTCTGTTTGGCCCCTCGGAAAGCTCTTGGCCCCAAGGCTTAGTCAATTAGTATTTTTCCAGATCCCAAGGTTACCATGTATAACATCATAGAGGAGACTTGACCTATGGTAGGTTCCTTCTTCAAGGTCTCAACTAATGTGGGAATTTTGAGGCCTTGCAAGTGAAGGTGTCTCTTGCACACACAAACACATGTGCACGTGTGCACACCCACATAATTTTTTTTACTGTGCATGTAATTGATTTTTATTGAGTACACTGACTATACATTTGGCAGTCACAGGTACTAATTCACCGGTACCCATTAATCTAGTATGGAATAGCGGAAGGCATATTTCTCCACACATCTGGGGAGCTGGAACTTGGGACAGTGAAGTTGGTGAGAGCAAACTTGGAGCTAGTCCTCTGCCGATTTCTGTGCTCTAGACCTTAGCAGACAGGTTTGGACTCCGGTTTAAAGAAGGACAAACTGAGGCTTAAAGAGACCAAGTGTGTCACTCGTGCATGAGTATATGAATGCTGAGTGACACGGTTGATGTTTAGATCCAAATGTATCTGACCCCATGGAGGGAAGTGGAGTGGGGGAGCCCTTTGCTTCCTAGACTAATTTAGTGACTTCAAGAATACTTTTTGTTCTTTGTCTTTAGAGGCAGAGTTTCTCTTGGTAGACAAGACTGGCCTCAAACTCAGAGATCTCTTTGCGTCTCCCTCCCGAGTGCTAGGGTTAAAGGCGTGTGACACCACAACCTAGTTTAAGAATACCTTTACCTTCTGAACTTTGCCCTGTAGTTGTGGGATAGGTCCTTCCACTCTTGGAAAGATGGGGGACTATTGGAAGGAAGGAGTTTGTCAGGCCATTCGCCCCTGGCTAGCTTCCCAGGAGCAGGGTCTTCACAGTACAAGTGAGTGACACTGAGTAACTGGGGACCTGTCGGGTTATACATACAGGGACAGAGGGACTTGCCCTAGTGGGAAGAGAGCCTCTCCGCCTCTGCCTAGTGGGTTAGGACAAAGGATTCGGGTGTGTGTGGTGATATGTTGTTTGTGACCTATTTAAGCCACTGGAGATCAAAATAGCAAAGCAGCCACACTAGTTAGCTATAGAAGCCAGCCAATGGTGGCACACACCTTTAATCCCAGGACTCAGGATTAAGAGGTAGATGGATCTCTGTTAGTTCAAGGCCACTGACTACATGAAATTGATCCAGTCCTAAAAGAAACAGCTCACACAAAGGTGATCTCAGCACCTGGGATCACACGCTTTTAATCCCAGCACTAGGGAGGTGGAGGCAGGAGGATGTGGCTGGTCAGAGAAAGGAATATAGGGAGGAGGAGACAGGAACTGAGAGCTTTTGCCTCTGAGGATTTGTGGAGACCGGATTATCGTTTCATTTGGGTAGAGGCAAAATCTACTGGCCTGGCTGCTTTGCTTCTCCGATCTTCAGCCCCAATATCCGTCTCTGTGTTTTTATTTTTCATGCTATAGGAATGACTCCCCCACCAATTCCCAGCACTGCCTGTGTAACTTTCCCCACAACTGTTCACCTGCACTAGACCATGGGAAAGTGAATAGGAAGAGAGCAGGGAAAACCGAGGGCACCTATAGGCTGCCCTGCACTGGAGTTTGTTTGATCCCAATGGGATGTGGCATTGGCCCTCATCCTTAGTGACTCATTATTGCTGTCTCCGCCCCCCTCCCCACACATGCTCTAAGCTCCACCACACTGGAGAAGCACCGAGGTCCTCCTCTTCCATAAGCCTGTCTTGCTGAGCACAAAAGTAACAACAGCAATAAAACTAGCATCCCAAGTCCTGGCTGTGCAGAGCCTCACTCATCTGTCAAGGATTCTTTAATCTATCGAGTATCAGTTCCACTTAAGGGAGGGGAAACTGAGGCTCAGCACAGTCAAAGACATGAATCTAGAATGTAAATTTGTGTCTTTCTGGCTCTATCCGAGGGTCCTGTTGTATGAATAATATAGACCCAGAGACAGATATTGGGGTTCAAGCTGAAGATCAGAGAAGCAAAGCAGCCAAGTCACCAGAGAACTCTTTACCTCTACTAAGGCTGGGGCAATCCTGTCCTCAACGTGGCTGGAGACTAATTTCCTAAGCCTGGATGCCAGTTCTGAGACCCTGCTCCTGTCTTACATTCCTCTCTAGAGCTGAGATTAAAGGTGTGCGCCACTGCTGCCTGGCTTCTATGGCTAACTAGTATGGCTGCTGGGATTAAAGGTGTGTACCACCACTGCCTGGCCTCTATGGCTGTGGCTAGCTTTGCATTCTGATCTCCAGACAAGCTTTATTAAATCATAAACAATAGTATCACCATAGGGTCCTGTCTAGGACACCACCCTGTATTCTGTCATGCCTGAGTCTGATCTAGCTATTTCCTACAGTTTGCCAATGTTCCACTATCGGATCCTATCCAGTACCCTGTGACCCAGTGACTGGCCAGTGTGAATGCCTGCCTGGGATAGCGGGAAAGCAGTGTGACAGGTGTCTCTCGGGAGCCTATGACTTTCCCTACTGCCAAGGTAAGGAAGCCAGTAGCATGTTGGAAGCGTGTCTCTCACCTGAGTGGGTCTAGCCAGCCTCTCAGGAGCTTGTCAGTCTTCCCCAAACGACACCAGCCACCCTAGAGGTTTGGCTCAGTCCGCCCCGGCCAACTTCACAGAAAGCACACACATCATGTGCTCAACCTCAGAGATGATTAGTGTCTAATGAGAACAGCCAAAATCCCCATTCATAAGAAAATCTGGCTTCCTAGTTCACAGTCACTTCTCTGCATCCGCATGGTGAAAGTGACCCATGGAGTCTGCCCTCCATTTGCTTGGCATCCCCCTTCCCCCCCCGTACATGCCAAGGCATCAGGCTTTCTCTCCCTAGTGGCTTTCAGTGCGAATGCAGCCCGCACAGGGTCTTTGCTGTGGGGCAAGCGCTGTGTTCTGCCCTTCCCCCAACACAGAAATAAGCTGCCCGCATTTCCCCCAAGCTCCACAGTGTGGGCAGCCCCCGGGTGTATTGTAGCTCTGCCTGGGCATTGCAGAGGTCTTTTGCCTGACTTTCCATCTGCGGGAACCCTCCTGCTCCTGGTGACACCCAGGGTCACCATCCAGAGCTGGGTGGAACTGGGTAGAAGCGCACACGGCATTTTCCAGAACTTCCCCGATCAGATTTCTCCAGACCAGATTTTTCTGAGGGTAGAAACTGCAGGGAGCAGCGACAGGACTCGTCCAGAAGGCCCGTGGGTCTGTGTGGGCCGCAGGCCCGTAAGTGCCGTGACAGAGGAGAGTAGCCATGATTATACTAGAGCTGGAGAGCGACTCTGGCCATCCTGGGAGTAGCCCAGGGCTGGGCAAGGTCAGTGTGGAGAACAAGAGGAGAGAAAATGAGGTGTGTGCCGCTAGAGAAAAATGGATCACAGTGAGGAGGGAGAGGGTGGCGTCGTGAGAAACTGAGGCAAAGGTAACACAGAGGAAACGAAGGCAGAAAGGGGAGGGGCCATTTGTAAGGATATACCCTCCTGTCGTGTTCCTCAGAAGCAGGCTCAACCAAGCTGCTGTCAGTATAACCCTGAGACATTGCAGATGCTCAGCTACAGCCTCTGCAGGTGAAGGTGGGAAACACACCAGCTGTTGTCACCAAGAACTTTAGCACAGGAAGGGACAGCGGATAAAGATAATCAATTATCTCTCAGTTACAAAGTGAAGTTAGAAATTCTGTAACTTCTATTGATGGACAATTAATTTTTTTTATTTTAAAAGAGGTGTAATATCGCCCTCTTCTGGAAAATTCTAAAGATGCTAAAAATTTCAGTCTTTCCTAACCACCCATTAGGAATGAAGTTTTATAGGGAGGTGGGGTGTGCCGGAAGGATTGAGGGGGAGGAAAGAATATGATCAAAATATATTGTGTACAATTTTCAAAAATAAGTTAAAATATATATTAAAATAGAGTACAGGAAACATTAAACAAAGGAAGTTGTATTCCCAGGCAGGGCAGACTCGTTGAGTGACAGATGGGTCATTGCAGATAAGTAGCATAAAGACCTCCAGGTGTGCCTTAGTGTGAGTCACACACAGACTTTGCCGCTCATCTGTCAAAAACATAAATGTGGGTGCACTTTTTTTTAAAAAAGCAAAATTAAAGGTTTTTTTTTGAAGTATCAAAACCACCAGCAAGACACTTGTATCATTTCTGAATCATATACAGGGTCCAGCAGTGTTTGTGACCCAGCTGGGACCATTGACTCCAGCTTGGTAAGTAGGGGAATCTATGTAAAACTCCAAGACTAACCCATGTGGAAACTTCCTGAAATTAACATAAACACAGATCCAACGGCTTAAAGAGGCCATGGCTCTTTTTCAATATGTGTGTGTAGTTTGTGAGGTTTATTTTTTAAAACAAGAGAATAAAGTTTATTTAGATTTTTGTCCTACAAACCGAGAGTTAGCTCTTCCTGGAAGTTTCTGTGAAGGTACTGCCATTATGGAGAGCCACCCAGGCTCAATCACTAGCAAAGAACTTGTGACATAAAGATGGCCATTCACAAAACTGTCACATGGTCTCTGTTTCTTTCCATGCAGACACTGTGCTAATTTGAGCAACTTCCTAAGACCCTTAGGACTTGTCTCTCTTCATGACCTCACACGTAGGAATGCAATAGCTGACCCTGGAGGACAAGGGGCAGGAGATTCTGCTCTTCCTGCTATGGGGTTTGATGACACGGAAGCCAGGAAGGCATTTGACCTCTCACATAAGTACTCATCACATCAGTCTCCCCTGTGAGAGGCTCATAGTTGTCAGTAAACGTATGGTCTATAGAGTAAAGACATTAACAGATACTGGCAGTTTGTGTGTGCATGTTAGGTGTGGGTACGTGTACACATGCATGTATTTGGGGATTAGAGGCCAATCTCACATGCATGGGCTTGTGTGCATGTTAGGTGTGGGTACGTGTACACATGTATGTATTTGGGGATTAGAGGCCAATCTCAGATGTAATTCCTCAGGGATCATTCACCATCTTCTTTCAGACAAGTCTCTCACTGGCTCTTAGATCACCAAGTAGGCTAGGCAGCTAGCCAGTGAGTCCCAGAGATGTGTCTGTCTTCACCTCCCGGCACTGGAACTACTTGCCATCCTGTCTGTCTTTTTAAATGTGGGTTCTGGGAATCAAACTCGAGCCCTCACACCTGCAAGAAAAACATTTTAGTGACTGTGGCATCTCATCAGACATGACAATGTTTTAGACAAGAGAGATCTTAATATTTTCCTTTCTCTGTACTCTTAACCAATTTGTTGGTTATTCATGTAAAATGCAAGTATGTACTGAAAAGTTCAGGGGCTGGAGAGATGGGTCAGTAGTTAAGAGCACTTACAGCTCTTACAGAGGGGGTTCAATTGCCAGCACCCACATGGTGACCTACAGCCATCCTTAACTCGAGTTTGGGCACCAGGCACACACATGGTGCACACACATGGTGCACACACATACATGCAGATAAAGTACTCAAGGCACACACATGGTGCACACACACACATGCAGATAAAGTACTCAAGGCACACACATGGTGCACACACATACATACAGGTAAAACACTCAAGGCACACACATGGTGAATATACATACATGCAGATAAAGCACTCAAGACACACACATGGGGCACACACATGGTGCACACACATACATGCAGATAAAGTACTCAAGGCACACACATGGTGAATATACATACATACAGGTAAAGCACTCAAGGTACACACATAGTACACATACATATGTTCAGGTAAAACATTCAAATATATCAATTATACAAACATTTTTTAAGTTCAGAAGGCTCCTTAAAGCAACCGTGTGCTTTAGCAAGTCCTTTGACTTATCTTTCACGTCCAAAATTTTATTTTGATGATGACACATGCTTGAAATAGGTCTTAATTTGAGATGCCAAATGTCAGTTTGATTTTCATTTTAAGGGATATTGCCAGTGCAAGCCTCATGTTGCAAGTCCTACGTGCAGTGTCTGCAAACCATTGTATTGGAATCTGGCCAAAGAAAACCCCAGTGGATGCTCAGGTGAGATGTCTCCTGAACTGCCAAGTCCTGCCATGCCATCGCCTCTTTATTTCTGTCTTCTCTGTGCCCGCATTGACAAGGGAGCGCTTTTTAAGCCAATTTGACTTGTTCAACATGCTGCATAATACTTTGGTGTACTCCACCTCCATTCTGCCAAATCTGACAAAGATTTATGTATACTGTTTCCATGTGGTAAATGACTGTGAACTCTTTGTATTTGTAAACCACTCTTTCTGGCTTAATTTTATGCACATAAGCAATGGCATCCAATACTGCACCTTTGTTTTATACAATTATTAAATCCAGGATACCAAGTTTAAAACCCACACTAAGAGGTCTAAGTGAAGTGACTATCTTTGGGTAGAGTGTATTTTTATACAGTCATGTCAATAATGACCTTGACATTGGAAACCTTTATAAACCATGTGCTGGAGCAGCCATAAGCCAGCCATTACTCTAGGTGGATTGCATTGATTGACCTATCCTACTGACTTCAGAAAGCAATCTTCTTTTAGACTCAAGCAGTGCAGACTGAAGGTTGCTTAAGTCCACAGGGAAGCCCAACCACATGAGTTGTATTGTAGGCATATGATGTCAGGAGAGCCAGGGAATGCTTCCTGTGAAACCCCTGGCTCATAGACACTCTCTTTTATCTTCACAGAATGCCAGTGCCACGACGCAGGGACAGTGAGTGGAATTGGAGAGTGCGGGCAGGTAACATGGGTCAGTTTGTCATGTGATGACTGTAGGGTGCTGCTGTGGTTGACTGTGGGGTCCCTGGAGGAGGGTTCAAGCCCCGTGCTAGTTATCCTGGCCACGGGCATACTCTTCCGTTCCTGGTTACGCTGCTTCCTATTGTGTGTTGAGCCTGTTTTCCAATCCGAAGGTTAGTAAATCCTGTGCATCAAATGCTGCACTTGACTCATTTCTTCTACAGGGAGATGGCGACTGTAGCTGCAAAGCTCATGTAACTGGTGATGCCTGTGATACCTGCGAAGATGGGTATTTCTCTTTGGAGAAGAGCAATTACTTTGGCTGTCAAGGTAAATACACATGGCAGGGTTTGAGCAAGGGAAAGTGCTGGAGGACAAGGGCTGCCAGATCCCGCCAATACTGGCTGCAGCTGACTTATTTATTTATTTTAGCTTTCTACAAAGTGTTTTACTTGGTCTTTGAGAATTTCACACAATACATTTTGATCATGTTCTTTTCTCTTCCCCAACTCCTTAAAGATCTTCCCCCACCTCCCTACCCACCCAACTTAACATTTTTAATTTTTTACATTTAAATTAGAAACAAGCTTGTTTTACATGTCAATCCCAATTCCCTCTTCCTCCCCTGCCTCCCACCAAAGCCCTATCCCATCTCCTTTCTGCTCCCCAGGGAGGGCGAGACCTTCCATGGGGGATCTTCAAAGTCTGTCATATCATTTGGGGCAGGGCCTAGGCCCTCTCCTGTGTATCTAGACTGAGAGAGTATCTCTCTATGTGGAATGGGCTCTCAGAGTCCATTCACGTACGTGGGATAAATACTGATCCACTACCAGGTCCCATAGGTTGCCCAGACCTCCAAACTGACATCCACGTTCAGGGGGTCCTATTCTGGTTTCCCAGCTATCAGTCTGGGGCCCATGAACCCCCCCTTCTTCAGGTCAGCTGTTACTGTGGGTTTCTCTAGCCTGGTCTTGACCCCTTTGCTCATCAATGCTCCCTCTCTGCAACTGGATTCCAGGTGTTCAGCTCAGTATTTAACTGTGGGTGTCTGCTTCTGCTTCCATCAGCTACTTGATGAAGGCTCTAGGATGGCATATAAGGTAGTCATCAATCTATTGGAGAAGGGCATTTAAGGTAGATTGTTAAGCAATCTAAGCAATAGTGGAGGTCATCCTTGTAGGTCTCTGGACATTTCCTTAGTGTCAGATTTCTCTTTAAACTTATAATGGCTCCTTCTATTATGATATCTCTTTTCTTGCTCTCCTCTCTTCTTCCCCTGACTCAATCTTCTTGATTCCTCATGTCCTCCTCTCCCCTCCCCTTCTCCCCTTCTCTTTCTCCTAACTCCCTTTCCCCTTCCCCCATACTCCCAATTAGCTCAGGAGATCTTATCCCTTTCCCCTTCTCCAGGGTACCATGTATGTCTCTCTTAGGGTCCTCCTTGTTTCCTAGCTTCTCTGGTGGTGTGGATTGTAGGCTGGTAATCCTTTGCTCTATGTCTAAAATCCATATATGAGTGAGTACATACCATGTTTGTCGTTTTGTGACTGGGTTACCTCACTCAGGATGGTTTCTTCTAGTTCCATCCATTTGCCTGCAAATTTCAAGTTTCCAATGTTTTTTTTCTGCTGAGTAGTACTCCATTGTGTAAATGTATTACATTGTCTCTATCCACTCTTCAATTGAGGGGCATCTAGGTTGCTTCCAAGTTCTGGCTATTACCAATAATGCTGCTATGAACATAGTTGAACAGATGTCCTTGTTGTATGAATGTGCATCTTTTGGGTATATGCCTAAGAGTGGAATTGCTGGGTGTTGTGGTAGATTGATTCCCCTTTTCCTGAGGAATCTCCATACTGATTTCCAAAGTGGCTGTAAGAGTTTGCACTCCCACTAGCAGTGGGGGAGTGTTCCCCTTTCTCCACATCCTCTCCAGCATAAGCTGTCATTGGTGTTTCTGATTTTAGTCATTCTGACAGGAGTAAGATGGTATCTCAGAGTTGTTTCGATTTGCATTTCCCAGATAGCTAAGGATGTTGACCACTTTCTTATGTGTCTTTCAGCCATTTTAGATTCCTCTACTGAGAATTCTCTATGTAGTTCTGTACCCCACTTTTTAATTTAATTATTTGGTGTTTTGGAGACTTGCTTCTTGAGTTCTTTGTAAATTTTGGAAATCAGCTCTCTGCCAGATGTGGGGTTGGTGAATATCTTTTCCTGTCCTGCGGGCTGCCGTTTTGTCTTGTTGACTGTGTCCTTTGCGGCTGACTTTCAAGGACAGTGCTTACATACTCTGTCTTGAGAACTTGTCCAAATATTCAGTAATGCTTGGTCATGCATGTAGCCTAAATTATTAGGGTTCCCAGACAGAAAATGACATTGGAATTCAAGATTTAACAATAGCAGTTAATTATCTGGTGGGGAGTATGTGCAAAAAGTCCATTGCTGCAGGGAGTTATTTTAGTAAGTTACTTCAAGCTCTGACCTTGAATCAGAAAAATACCTGGGAAAATGGACTCATGTATTTTTCTCTAGAGGTAACCAGCTATTTGTCTCCAGGGGCAACCAGATGCTTTGAATTTTTTTCCTGGAATCTAAAATTAGCTTTCTGTGTAAAAGGCTGTCTTTGTGACTAAAAATCCTATATCAATCTGAATAATGTAAAATATCCTTGTATTATTTATATTCATCAAATTGCAGAAATCATCTTCCTGACCATCCACAGCTATATGTGTGCCCAGTAAGTGTAAAACACACCACCAAAGGGCTGTGGAAAGAACATCTCAGCTGTTTTTATTAGGGAGGTATAGTAGTAGTACTTGAAAAGTTCCAGATAGAAGCAACCAGTCATTTGCAATCAGTGGCCCTATGGCTTTGCCAAGTGGGGCTTCCCAATAGGGAATTATACATCTGTCAAGTTGACTTGTTAAATGCTAGTTGTCACTGCTGTATATTCTCATGGCCTCTTGCAATCAGCAGCTCTCGGCAATGGATGTGTATGCCTCTGTGAATGGAGGCCAGAGGCTCATGTCAGGTACCTCCTCAGTTGTCTCCACCCCGGTTTTGAAGACAGGGTCTCTACTGAATCGGGAGCATGCCCTGATCAGCAGGTCCCAGGGATCCTCCTGTCTCTTCACCCTCGGCACTGCCATTCTTTCCAAGTCTGTGTCGGAAACACTTCACTCACTGACTCCTTCTCCCAGACTACTTAACCATGGTTAGCTCCTGGGCTTGCCTTGTGCTGGACAATAGCGTTACCACCACCACCACCACCCCCACGCCCCCCACCACCACCGGGAACCTTTAAGGGGACAGACCGTTTTTGTTTAGGACATTCCTGCTTGATATAACGGATGGTGGAGGAAACAAAACATCCACTACAGTGCTGAGAATATCCGAGCTGTTTCTCATGGGGAGGAAGCATCTGGCAGGAAGGTAGTTTGGTAGTAACCCAGCTGTTTCTTGACTTTTAGGGTGTCAATGTGACATTGGTGGTTCGCTCACCACCATGTGTAGTGGGCCCTCAGGAGAATGCCAGTGCCGAGAGCATGTTGTGGGGAAACAGTGCCAGAGGTAAGTCTTGGGGAAGTTTCTTTACACACTCACGTTATTGAGGCCACCTCACTCACACCTCCCTGTCTGTGTCTATCCTGAGGTAGAGAGGAAAGAAGCAATCCTAAGGAGGCAGAGGAAGCTGTCAATATAACTAGAGCCTAGACATGTGACCATGAACTAATTAGAACAGGAGATCAGGATGCCCACAGAAACCAATTCTGTGGTACAAGTTATGAAGCCCCTACACCCCAAAGTCCCCAGACCTGAAGTGAACAGATGTAAGACACCAGGGTGCACTGTACCAGTTGGAAGCCGAAGCTTCTCTACAAGCCACAGCATGCAGGCACCAGACACAGAGGGCCAGGTTTCTGGACCAATGGCATGCAGTGCCTGTGTGTCTCCCTTGAGAGAGTGAGTGAAGTCTGGTAATTGGAATAAGGTGGCGGGGAAAGTCTTGAAACAGAAACGACTGGAAAGGAGTGCTAAGAACAAAAGCGTGAAGGGTAAATGCCTGGAGGTGGGGAGTATATGCATATGTGTCTCTGGGTGTCATTATCCTACTGTAAGTTTTTCCTCAGTATAAAGAGGAGAAATTGAAGTCTAAACTCTGAGAAAAGCAATGTTTTCAAAATCTCAGGCACCTTCCCCACCTGCTTCATAAATAGATTAATTAAAACACCCATTGGCGTAGTTCTGAGTGCCGTTGGCTGTGACTGTCCCTCTATCTCCTACACTTGGATTCTAAAAGTCAGGGTCACCTGGCTGTGTCCTCTCTCAGTCTCTGTCAGTGTCCCTTGTGGCTGGGCATTCCAGGAGAAGTGACATGCAGAAGCACAGAAGAAAAATAATGCAACTCAACAGTTAACCTACCTACAGATAAAAACACTGACTTTTCTCATCTTAGCACACAGGAATATGTTCTGAAATTTACAATACAGCCTTTGATATGCTAGTAAATAGAAACTGGAAAAAAGTGGGGGTAAACCAGCAATGTGTGTGACAAAATCACTTTGCCCAGATGGGCAAACCTCGAGTCCTTGGTTCTAAATCTTTCCAAACATTAGCTCATTCATATTTCCTTATAAGTTTAGGAGGATTTCACTGTGTTTTCTATCTAATTTTTGTGGTCATAAATATATGTTAATTTTAGAAATTTCAATAAATTCATAAAAATAAAAAGGCAAAGAAAAATCTGCACTGTACCACATTAAGATAGCCTTGCAAAAATATTTTTGGTATAATTTTGTCTAGGAATAAAATTTAGCATTTTTCATGCAAATTTTAAAATCAATTTTTCCAATTGTATATATCATAAGAATTTTTATAACATTAAAATGTCCTAAAATATTAATGCCTATAGAATGTTTTATAATTTATAATTTTGGTTCAGTCATGTTGCTTGCAAGTTGTCACTGCTTTAAACATGTTTGCATTAATTCCTTAGAATGGATTCCTGGATGAATTACTAGGACACTGGGCCAAGCACTCCTACTGGACACTTGTAAATCCTCTGAGGGGATGCAAGCATTCCTCTCAGTGCTCACAGTACAGGGGCATGTGTTGGGGGGAAGTCCTTTGTCAATTAAGCACTGCTGGCCAATAGGAATCTAGATAGGCGGGACTAGGAGTCCAGGAGGACTCTGGGAAGGAGAAACATAAGAGAGTCAAGATGTAACGCCATGGGGTAGGAAGCCCGGAGACCTCTCTGGTAAGAGACATACTTAGATGAACAATTATGGGGTAATTACTTAAGTCAGAGCTAGCCAGTAAGAAACAAGCAAGGCCAACAGCTTCATAATTAATATAGCCTCCTGTGTGTTTATTTGGGACTGATGCGGCTCTGGAACCAGGATGGCGGGAAGGCTTCTCTCAAGGAAAAGGTTTCCCTTTACAGGCATGGCTTTTATTTCCATTGAATGATGAATCTTTATGTCTTTAAATCCGCTAAGTGTTATTAGCTTCTTACCCTTCTTGCCAGATTGGAACATATATCCGTGTGAAGAACTAGAATAGTTTGAGTGTAGAAGCCACATATCATAAGGCATTTTTGAGCTTTCTTTGTGACTGCCACAACTGGACTTGTCAAAGGAACCCACCCATTAACCTATAGATGGCTCAGAGGGGAAAGGCACCTATTGCCAAGCCTGGCCACCCAAGTTCAATCATCAGGACCCACACAGGGGGAAGAGAGACCCAACCCCAGCAAGTTGTCCTTTGACCTCTACCAGTGATGGTCTGTGCACACATGTGCACAGATGCTTATGCACACACACACACACACACACACATACAAACACACAAAAATAAACACGACTATGATAAAAATTATATATACATGTTTAGTATATAAACATATTAGCAACAGTGCCTGGCACATAGTTACTGATGCTTGTAAAATATGTGAATATGAATGTGTGAAGGACTGAGTGAATGAGCAAATAGTAAGTTATTTATTAGAATTTATTAATTGTTGGCAACCATTGGAACACAGTAGAGGGTATGTTGAGGTCCTCATGACTTGACTTCCTCAATTTAGTGCTTGGAAGGAGTGGGTACTGGATGTGCTCTGTGCCAATGTTTGCCTGAATAAAAGAATGACTTAGAGAAAGAGTGGGAACAGCCTTCCTCTGTTCTTATTTAATGGCTTCGTCAGCTGGCGGCACTCCTTCAGCAGTGTCTATTAGGAAAGGACATCAGGTTACCAACTAACCTAACTTCTATGTCCATGTTTGTTTGTGATTTATCAAGGCCTGAAAATAACTACTATTTCCCGGATTTGCACCACATGAAGCATGAGGTTGAAGATGGCACTGGAACTAATGGAAGAGACCTGCGGTTTGGATTTGATCCCTTGGTATTCCCCGAGTTTAGCTGGAGAGGATATGCCCCGATGAGCTCAGTACAGGTATATAGTCAGAGGGCCACAGCTCATTGCAAGGGGCTCACACACATGTCTACAATAGTGTCACAGACCTAACGGCTACACTGCCCCAGAGACAGGATTTGTTTTATATTGGCCAGGTTTGGTTTGAAGGCTAGGCTTGGAATTTAGTATGGGGAAAGATTTTAACTCATAAGCGTGTACTTGGATTTCCTAGATCATTGCTATTTTAATTTAGCCACTAAATCAGAAAATGAAGAAATTAAAGCAAGTATTTGTCTCTGGAGGCTTTTCATAGATAGAAGGAAATTTCATAAATGGTATTAAACTATATTAAAACATAGAGGCCATGCTTTTTTAGTGCCATTTTGGAAAATAAAAATGGGTTAACTTGAAGACTTCTACAAAAGCTAGCAGCCCCTCCATCTGGCAGTCCTGCTGTGTGACTCAGGCTGGCCTGAGCTCTAAGTCCTCCCTGTTTCTGTCACCTACATGCCCGAAAACCAGCTATGTGCCACTCCCACTGCTTGGTGTTACTGATTTGGGGCGGTGCTTATCAAACTCCTGAATTACTCCATGAGTGGGGACTAAGGTAAAGGAGGCACTTTGGTGTTGCATTGCTTTTCTTTTCTTTCTCCTCTCCTCCACTCTTCTCTGCTGCACCCATGTGGCTTGCCTTCACGTTGGAGTAAGAGATGTGTACATAAGTTGTTGACCTTGAAGACTTACACAATATTTATAGCCAAACATGTAGAGCCATTGAGCAGTTTTCATCCTCAGACCTTCTCTTCAAGACTGGTCTCTTCAAGCTGCTTCTAGGTAGATGAAGTAAATCACAGTAAGAGACGGGATCTGACAGCCATGCTCACCCAGGTTAGGACTAGTCTGTAGAGAACCTGGGCCAGTCCATTGCTCTCTCGCAGCCCATTGAGGGCAGGTGCACGGGGAATGGTATGCTTACACGTGAGTACAGGTACCTGCAGAGTTCAGACGGTGTGAAGTCCTCCACAACTGGAGTGGCAGGAGGCTGTGAGCCACAGGACTTAGTACTGAGAACCAAACCATATTCTCTCCAAGCTCTGAACTGCATCAGCACCAATTCTATTTCTTTAGTGGACATCTTCATTATTAATGAAATTATAGTGGATTCATCAAGTCCTGATAGGGAGTGACTATCACGGCCTGGTCTAGGTGTTCTTAGAGGTGTTTGAAGTTTGACAAAATATTTGGTTGACCCAAAGAAATTCATCTCTAACCATGTTCTTTGTGAGGAAGTCTTTGGGTCAGAGGACCTGTAACCATTTTCTTTACTCTTTGAAGACATTCTTTCACATTTATTTCCCAATTGGAATCAAAACTGAAAAATGAATTCAATCAAACTCTTAGGGCTGGTGGGAATTTCTGAGTGGGCAACATTCGCAGCCTCTGTGTCAGAGCTGGAGATGGTCTAGAATTGAGTCTATGCTGCCTCCGTGTCCATTCAACACATGTTCTTTTCATTGAAACCAAGCTAGTTGGGAGAAGGATGAAAAGAATCATGGCGTAAGAATTCCCACACCTTGTGAACTTCACTTGGGCCACAACTGGATCTGGACTTGTGGTTTATGGTTTTGTATGAACGTAACTTATTCTCAGGGCTGGAGGGATGGCTTGGCAGTTAAGAGTACATGGTGGCTCAGAAGCATCCCTAAATCCAGTTCCAAGGGATCCCATACTCTCTTTTGACCTAAATGAACATACATATATGCTGGCAAAATGCTTATACACATACAATAAATAAATGATAATTTACTGTTCTATCAATTCTTATGGAGCGTTGTGTGACCCCAGAGCCTGAAAACACACGAGACCTCTCCTCTAGTTTATTGATAAAAGCTTGAGGCAAAACTTCTAAGACAAAACAGGAATGTTTAGTTGCATCTAGGTTTTTAATCACACATGTGTTTGGGGTCCTTAGTCTTTGCTGTCCCACCATTGCTGTCTGCAGCCATTTAGATGTGAAATTATACTTGTCAAGTGGGGCTTGCAGGGGCTTCTCTATTGAATGGTGGTGTGAAATGACACACTTTCCTTTCCTTCTCTCTTCTGCCTTTGATTTTTTCCCAGTTAGTGGTGGTTGCCCCTGTCACTGTGGCCCTCTTAAACTAGTCCATTCTGTCTGCCTGGCTCCAAAAAAAAAGTCAAAAGGGAACCCTAGTTGCTGAGGGAGTGAATTCCACTGCAACTGGAATTGTAAGTGATTTGCTTTCTTGTTAGGCCTGCCTATTTCTGCCTAGTTACTTGATACTTATTAAGTATGTATGCATGTGTGTGTGTGTGTGTGTGTGCGCACACACACACACACACACACGTCTTACAAATCTAACAGGGAAACTTAAATGAAACCACTGGTTTGCTGGCATTTCTTTGCAGCCACCTTTCTCTTCTACACTTCATGGATTTGGGGGTTACTTTTCAGAATGAAGTAAGGATAAGATTGATTGTGGGGAAGTCAAATCTCTCCTTGTTCCACATCATTCTGAGATATGTCAACCCTGGAACTGAAGAAGTATCTGGCCGCATCACTGTTTATCCGTCCAGGGCAAAGTTGGGTAGGTACAGTTTTAAGCCTCTTACTGTGCCTTTGTTGTTGTTTTGCTCTTTGGAGACAGAGTCTCACGACATAGCCCAGTGCTGGATTGGACAGGCATGAGCCTCTACACCTGGCTTCACGTCTTTCAGTTAAAGAAGGATCAACATAGCATTCATTTTGTTTTCACAAAGTCCGTCATCCTTAGAAAGCATTAAGCCCATGACAAGATCTGATTGGTTGTCTCTCTTGCATGCTGTTCCTTACCATCTGATTGGATGGCTCTGTTGCATTCTTCCTTACCATCTGATTGGATGGCTCTGTTGCATTCTTCCTTACCATCTGATTGGATGGCTCTGTTGCATTCTTCCTTACCATCTGAAGGCTCTCTTGCATGCTCTCTGTTACCATTGCTTTTTCCTCACTTTGTGCTCTTTCATTTTTGCTGTTAAATTAGCATTCATTGTCATTTAAAATATTGGCTATACTCCAACCTCAGGGGTCATGATACCTTTAGAGATACAAAACAGATCTGTGTAGATAGATCACTCATGGGGAAGTGGATGCCATCTTGTTTGGCATTATTTGGGAGTTGTTGGCCTATTGCCCTTAATTCTCCCATGGTTTCAAGCAAGAAGAAATAGAGGGTGACTGGAATTTTAAAATGAAGGTCAGAAAGTAGGAAATGCAGTAGAGGCCCAGAGACTTGCAAGCTTACTTTAGAGGTGAAGACTTCCTGAGCAGAGAGGGTGTAACTCACAGAAGTCAGGGGCAGGGCCTGGAAACCTATCTTCCCTGGAACTAGGCCTTCAGCCAATCCCAGAAACAGACTCAAGAAGTCATTTGTAATCCTGAAGGACACAGAATGGCACTAATGGAAACCTGACTCCGTACTGGGATGTCAAGTGTCCTTATTTCACACCCGTGGCAGAGTTGGAGGTGAGAGAGGTAGAGGTGCTTTTCCCAGGGTGGCCCAGCCAAGCATGAGTGGCTGGAGGCTAAGCCACTCCCAGCCACTAGAGAGCTCTAGAGGGCAGGATCTCTTTAATGCCAGGAGCCTAAGCATTAGTGGCCTCACACAGTAGGAGCCTTGTGGACTGAAGAGACCAAACCATACAAGTGCATAGCTGGTCTTTGTAGACAGGCTGTAGACTCCAAGCTCGTCCCGACAAACCCCTCTGCTCCTGGGTGGTGTCAGTGGTCTGCCCTCTGTCTGTCCACACAGGCCCCTCTGCTCCTGGGTGGTGTCAGTGGTCTGCCCTCTGTCCACACAACTAGAATACATTTTGGCTTGTTCTCCTGCTCTCTGAGACAGTTTCCCTAAGTCTGAATCAGGAACCCAGTTACACGGTCCTAAAGTCATGTATGCCTCCTCCCCTCTACCACTGTCCACACTTTAGTCCCACTGTCCACACTTTGAGTCCCAATATCCATGCTTCTAGTCCCACTGTCCACACTTTGAGTCCCACTGTCCACACTTTGAGTCCCACTGTCCACACTTTGAGTCCCACTGTCCACGCTTCTAGTCCCACTGTCCACGCTTTGAGTCCCACTGTCCACGCTTTGAGTCCCACTATCCACGCTTCTAGTCCCACTGTCCACGCTTTGAGTCCCACTGTCCACACTTTGAGTCCCACTGTCCACACTTTGAGTCCCACTGTCCACGCTTCTAGTCCCACTGTCCACGCTTTGAGTCCCACTGTCCACGCTTTGAGTCCCACTGTCCACACTTTGAGTCCCACTGTCCACGCTTTGAGTCCCACTATCCACGCTTCTAGTCCCACTGTCCACGCTTTGAGTCCCACTGTCCACACTTTGAGTCCCACTGTCCACACTTTGAGTCCCACTGTCCACGCTTCTAGTCCCACTGTCCACGCTTTGAGTCCCACTGTCCACACTTTGAGTCCCACTGTCCACGCTTTGAGTCCCACTGTCCACACTTTGAGTCCCACTGTCCACGCTTCTAGTCCCACTGTCCACGCTTCTAGTCCCACTGTCCACGCTTTGAGTCCCACTGTCCACGCTTTGAGTCCCACTGTCCACACTTTGAGTCCTACTGTCCACACTTTGAGTCCTACTGTCCACACTTTGAGTCCCACTGTCCACGCTTTGAGTCCCACTGTCCACACTTTGAGTCCCACTGTCCACGCTTCTATTACCACTGTCCACACTTTGAGTCCCACTGTCCATCCTTGGATCTGACTCTGCATTCTGACCTCTCATGTCTCATGTCCCCAGGGAAGTAATCCATGCTTGCTGTGTTCACTGCATTGCCTGCACAGCCCCGGCCCGGCACACAGTATGCCTTTGCAAATGTCTATAGAATGAGAGTCATGCAAAGATTTGATGCAAATATCTCCTCTCAAGAAGACCCTCAGACTCAGGCACTAGATGTTTGTTGGCAGAAGAAATGCACAATATAATCCTGGAAACAAGTAAATAGAAAGCTGGGTATTTTCTAATTGCAAAGTGAATGTATTCTCATGAATAAAAATAAAAATAATCAACTCCTACAGACAAAAAACAAAGAAATCAACAAGCCATATAATGTAATGAAAACATACATCTGGAAGATAGGTCTTGGCCAGATGTGGTGATATGCCCCTGTCATTGAGGGGAAAAGGCAGGGGGATAACTAGTTTGAGACCAGTGTGCTCTGTAGTGAGTTCCATGCCAGTTAGTGCTACATGGTTGACTCTGTCAAGTATGTACATATAGACATTAGTATGCATATCTAATAACTCTGAGTAATTGAAACCCGAATAGATACCATTGCTAACATCTTAAACTGCTATTTGTTTTTCTGATAGGTGCTTCTCAAAGCAAAGAGGTGACCTTTCCCCCAAGGAAGGAGCCAGCCTTTGTCACTGTCCCTGGAAATGGCCTTGCAGAGCCCTTCTCCATCACACCAGGGACATGGATCGCTTGCATCCAGGTGGAAGGAGTCCTCCTGGTAAGCTAGAGTTCTGAGTGCCCATGTCTGGAATGCCCTGGTCCTGGATAGTCTAGCCCAGTGCAGTGACCCACAGGAAGATGTCTAAATCACAGGCATTTCTCTTTAACTGCAACGGAAACTTGGTGACTTTTGCCCTCAGAGGACATGACAACAGAAACTTACTGAAAATTATGTTTTATATCCTCCCAGTCAACTACTGTTGGACAAATATAATGTGCGTGTCTCTCTGTATGTAACGAACTATAACTCAAAATTATTAGAACAAATACAAGGCTCTTATGAACACCTTTCTAATTGTGTTCAGTATTTCCATTAGGAAGCAGAAAGGCACCTAAAAGTGCAATACACCCCCCCCAACCACGAAGAGTAATCAGGAGAAGCTAGATGAAGAGGAGGGACAACAGCAGCGAGATTTGGGGTGTGCGAAGGGAAGGGAGGGGCTCCAGGAGCCAGGGCTGCCCCAGCACATTCTGCTGTCTTACCTAGTCAAGGGTCCTACAGCTCGCCCGACAATGGACTCCTCATCCAAGGAAAGCCAGAGGGACCTTGGGGGGGGGGGCTTCTCTGAGACACTCCTCTTTGTCCACACCTCAGGCTTGTTATAGCTTGTGGAACGGTCATAGATAAAGTCTTTGGCACACATTTGATGTCTTGTGCTTTAGGCAGGAAACATAAAGTTGGTCCTTCTGGCACATTCGGAAGTCTTACGCAGGTCACAGAACCCTGAGCCTCCCTCCATCGCTTCTCCTGAGTGACACACTTATCCTTGTGTATCTTTTCCAAATGCAAACAGTATGAAGTTATGTAACATCCTTGGGTCCTTGTTTTTCTTGCGCCTTCTTGGCAAAGAGACTTTATATCTGAAGAAATAAGTCAAAAAGGAAACTGCAGATATTAGAAGTGGGAAGAGGAAAATTCCTGCAATGCCAATATGGTCACGAAGCTGGGAGATTATTAAGACTTACTACCTAGGCATGGGAGATGCCGAATGACATTACGCTGGTGTTCCCATTATGACTCCATTCTCACTGAGGTCTTCGTGTTGAGTAAGGTCTTTGGTACTATAGCAGTCATGGGCCCAGCTCAGGGAAATGGCTTCTAGAACAATTAAAACCACCCAGCTAACAGGGCCACTGAGTTCCTCAAGTCCCAATCTACTTTTTTCCTCTGATAAATGTTTCTTCCTGAAGAAAGAAATTGCCTTATGGGCCACATATGAATCTTCCATTGAGGCAAATATCCCATCTCCTCCCTTCTGCACACATGCGGTGGGATCACGGATCCTGAGATCACTGGACACTGTCAAGCCACCCATGTCTGAGATCCCGGAACACCGCTCTATCCTGAATGCTTAGCTGCATCTACTGCAGGCTTCATTTGGCATAGTTGATGAATAGTCATTCTTTCATTTGCTAGGACAGGCAGTGAGGCTGTTCTGGTCTGAGCCACCAATGTCTCCAACCTTACCTTTCCACCATGTGAGCCCCATGAGCAGGGAGCAGGGTTGGAGCTGAAGGCCATGTTGTGGTTAGTAGTTAGTGCTCGGTAGTGATGAGGAAACCAGCATCTCAGCACAGCATCTTTTTGTATAAATATTTTTATTTTTATTTCATATACATTGGTGTGCCTGTATGAGGGTATTAGATCCCTTGGAACTGGAGTTATAGACAGTTGTGAGCTGCCATGTGGGTGCTGGGAATTGAACCTGGGTCCTCTGGCAGGGCATCAGTGTGCTTTTAATCACTGAGCCATCTCTCCAGCCCCTCAGCAGAGCATCTTAATGATGTGGTTCAATGCCTTTGATCATTGGGGGAGGGATTTATAAACAACCGGAATATATAGCAACATTTCCTGTGGATCTAGAGATTGCAAATGTACACACTGTGTCACTGACCCCCAGTGTGTGAAGCATTGGTGGGGAGGGGCCTTGTGGGTTCTGGTGGGTCAGGATGAGGAACAAAAATGTTGATCTGAAGTTGAAGTTCCCCAGGGACTTCCCTGGGGCATTATTCACTTAGGTTACTTTATTACATTTGGTTACTTTATTACCAAGGTAGGCTTACTGGATGATGAGTAATACTCCCTATGGTCTTCATCTGCTAGGATTACCTGGTGCTGCTTCCCCGGGACTACTATGAAGCACTCGCTCTGCAAGTACCAGTCACAGAACCATGTGCTCACACGGGATCTCCCCAGGACAAGTTAGTATGGGGTGGGGAGGGCTGCAGCCTCAATGCCACCAGACTCCTCTGAATGAGCCCTGGACACAAAGGCTCCTGATGGTGGGCCTTACAATGTCAGTGGTTACAAGACAGCCCGCCGGGGGGGGGTTCCTTGTGAATCACTCATTATGAACCTTACTCTCTAAGAGTCTCAGCTCTGAGCCTTACTCTAAGAGTCTCAGCGCGCATTGCATGCCTCACTGGATTAGGAGTGGCTCCCATCTTGTGGAATGCTGCAGCATGCCCAAGTCATCTCAGAGCCATTCATTGGGCGAGGGCAGCGGCTTAAAACGGAGGGCATGCTCTTGGACCTTGTCTCTTCCTTTGCTATGTGGGAAACTCATTGCTCAACACCCTTGGTGTCCACTCTTCCTGGCAGTGTTCTGATCTGTTCTGCGCCAAGCTCGAGTGGTAACCATTGTATTTTGTTGTCTCGAAGTTGTTTGCTTTACCAGCATTTACCGGTGACCCGATTCTCCTGTGCCCTGGCTTGTGAGGCCAGACACTTTCTGCTGGATGGGGAACTGAGACTCGTGGCAGTGAGGCAGCCCACTCCCGCACACCCGGCCATGGTGGACCTCACTGGGAGACAGGTGGGGCAACCTTGCACTTCCTGCCAAAGCCGATGCTGCCTCTCCATCTGCGTCTGCTCACTGCTTAGCCAAGACTGTCTCTCAAATCCCAGAGAGCCAGAAGGGGGTCCTGGAAGTATTGATCAGCGGGGGCTGAGTGCTCTGACTTGAACAGGGACTGAATTGTCCTCCACACTGAGCTGTATTTTGAATCCCTTCTAGATGTAGCAATGACAGTAGACGGTCACAGGGCCATTTACTGGCCCCACCTGACTCACAGCAAAGTCCTTCTTAAAAAATGGGTGAGACTCGGTCTTACAGGCCTCCCGTAGCTCCGTGGTTTACCTTACAAGGACACCACAGGTCCTCGCTGCTCAACCCCACAGGCTGAGCAGTTTGTAACAGCTGAGTTTGCCTTGGAGCTTGGAATCTGGACTGCTCCACCCCAGGCATGTATCCGGCGGCTGGGAGGACATGTTAGTACATGCCGAGGCACTGTGTCTCTTCCTGGGGTTCTCGGAGGTATGTGGGCAAACCCAAGCGTGTACTGCAACAGATTGCACAGCATCCCGACAGTGAGAACACACATCTGGCACCCGACATGAAGATGCTGAACAGCGGCCCCCTCCCTGTCTCATGCTTTTGTTAATATTGTCCACTTTGAATTCTTGAGAAAACACTTCTTTTGAGGTAAAGTATATGAAGATAAAATATCTCTGGCCTTAATTTGTCCTAAATATTTAGGTATGCACATTTTATAAACTATGTCCTTACAACAGCTAAAGATATTAAGATTGCTTCTTAGATAGACTTTCTTCACTTCATTTTGTCAGATTTTAAATTATGAAATATACTTATTTTGTTAAGTAAAGCAATATAAGTAAAAGCAATTAAATGTAATGAAAAACAGAATATTCTCTCTATTCTACCCTAAAATTACCTTTACCACATTCCTTTCTGCCCATAGTGCACATACACACACATGTGTATATGTATACTCACATGCACATATATTTAATGTGTGAGAATGAACATGTATGTGTGTGTGTGTGTGTGTGTGTGTGTGTGTGTGTGTGTGTGTGGTTGGTTGGTAAGACAACAGGGAAGCCCGCTGAGGTGGACCAGTCACTCAGGAATTGTAAACTTTTATTAATTAAACTTAAGTATATCTAAGTTATCTCTCAGCTACATCAAGTATACCTCAAGGTCTCAACTATCACCCATGTCCAGGGGACAACATGGACCACAGATTATTTTTGTCATTGCAAAATGACTGTTGTGATGAAATTCAAATTTGTAGAGTTAGGAGAGGTTTCCTTCTATACACCTTCCTGACTGCCTCCATCTCATATGTTCCTGTGATCCTTCCTGACTGACAGCCTCCATCTCACATGTTCCTGTGATCCTTCCTGACTGACAGCCTCTATTTCACATGTTCCTATGATCCTTCCTGACTGACTCAGCCACCCATGTTACATGTTCCTATGGTCTTTTCTGAGAGAATCTGCCATACTTGAACCTTAAACTACCTGTCTAATTATCTGATTAAAGTCTCAGGACAGAACTCATCTGTCTTGTTTTCTGTGGGATGCTCACTAGCTGGCCATGGCCAAAATACTTAAATTCCCATCTGTCATCAGAGATGATAGTTCATCCCTCTTGGTCTTACTCAAGCATCAGATTTGATAACCCCACCCTCCACACCTTTATCCAGCACTTGGAACTAGCCAAGAGAATCCTTGTGCTGTAGAACCATTTGACACTGGGTCCTTTCAAGTTCCCCTTAAACAAAATAATAAATAGCACCAACAGCAGTCATCAGATTGTACCCAAGTTTGTCTGGTTTTACCATCACATGTATTTTAAGCAGTTAGCAGGCCATAGGACTCACAGTGGGATGGCAGTAGGAACTCAGAGGAGTGCTATGACAAAAGTCACAGCCAGCGAGGACTTGTCACTGGCCTGTGTGTGCTGTGTGGTCAGCTGAGGCAGTCAAGCCTCCTTTTGCAGATCACGGTGGGGGGGGGGAGGCAGAGCAACTTCTCTACAAGGGCAAGGCTAGACTTTTCTATGTAACAGTCAAAAGCGGGCAGCTAGGGCACATTTTCCCCTGAGGGAAGCCTTCATTATATAAGAATGGAAGAATCAGCATGGACTCTGGGAGGTGCGTGACTCAGCGCTGTCCTGAGGAATAACACATGCACATTTTCTGCAGGCAAAGAGGAGGGCTGTTTCATTAAGTGGGGTAAAGCTGGGCTGAGATGGAGCTTTGGGTCTGAGATGCCTTACACAGTGAGGAATGGAGGGAGTTCTCAGGTTGGCTCAGGCATACAATGTGCACACACACACTTTAAATAGTTCCCCTTCTAGGAATCTTACAGAAACACCAGCGAAAAGATGTGTGTGTATACATGTATGTGTGTGCCTATATATGTGATATAACATTGGACGTTATCTCATCAACAGATGATTTTCGTGTGTGTGTGTATGTGTGTGTGTATGTGTGTGTGTGGTATGTGTGTATACATGTGTATATGTTTTCAGATACATGTGTGGGTATGCATGCATACAGAAGCCCAAAATCGATGCCAAGAATTACCACAGGTCACTTTCCCACATTATTCAATGGTCTCTCGGTCAAACCTAGGGCTCGCCTATCTGGTTTTCCTTGCTGGTCAGCCTGCTCTGGGTTCCTCCTGCCTCTGTCTTCCCAGGCTGGAATTACAGGCAGCCCACCACAACCTTCTGATATATGTGTGGGTTCCGGGGATCCCAACTCGGGTCTTCATGCTTGTGAAACTGTTGCTTACCCACCAACTTCTCTCTAGCTTAAATTTTTCCTTTATATTATTGGGTGCCAGACAGCCAATAGGAAAAAAAAACCTATGTATATCTATAATGATGAGGGCACATGAAATACTGGGGCTGGGATGGTGGCTGTTGGTAAAGTGCTTGCTTTGAGAGCATGAGGACCTGAGTTCAAACCCCCAGGACCCATGTGAAAGGAGCTAAGTGTGGTGCCACATGCTTGTAAAATCAGCGCTGAGTAGGTACAGACAGGCAGATTGCTGGGGCTCACAAGCCAGCCTAGTCCACTCAAAGAATTCCAGGCAAAGAAGAGATCTCTCTCAGAAACACACACACACACACACACACACACACACACACACACACACACACACACACACACAAGCCAGCCTAGTCCACTCAAAGAATTCCAGGCAAAGAAGAAATCTCTCTCAGAAACAAACAAACACACACAAGATGTTAACCTTTATTGAATGATACCAAGGTTCACCTCCAGTCTCCATTCATATGTGACTCAGATGCATCTTTATACACACCAATGAAAGTGTAAAAATAAATAAAACAACACACCGTGATACTCTGTTGAACAAAAGGAAACAAATCAGGACAAAAACAACCCAATTACAATTAGAACTACCAAGTTTCTGTAGTACTTGTTGTATGTCACGTAGAATTGAAACACTCTCCATGCATTCATTTAACCTTCAACTGTGTTGAGAGGGTACTAATGCTATCCCCATTTTATGGAGGGGTTCTGATGCTATCCCCATTTTATGGAGGGGTTCTGATGCTATCCCCATTTTATGGAGGGGTTCTGATGCTATCCCCATTTTATGGAGGGGTTCTGATGCTATTCCCATTTTATGGAGGGGTTCTGATGCTATCCCCATTTTATGGAAGGGCACTGATGTTATCCCCATTCTGTAGAGGCAACAGACATTAAGTCAGAAGCTCTAGGTCACTCAGCTAGTGTCAGTTGGATTTTGGACCACAGGCTCCTGCCTCATGATTGACACAAGGTAAAGGCACAGATCCCCAGAGATGGCCAGAGAGTAAACATTTCCAGCTTTGTGGGTCATGACAGACCGAGAGCATCCATCTTTCTTAAAAAACAAAAGGGGGAAGCACATGTCATCCATAGAAAATGGTTTGAAAGTATAAAAGCCAAGTGCCGTCGTTCTTGGGGAAGGAAGCGTGTATGCGCTGCTCTTACATGATTTTTATTTGGCTAATGTGACATTTCTCTCTTGACGTAACATTTGAGAAGCCCCCAAGCAGTCTCCCCTCTCACACTGTCTGTGGCTCTTCTTTTTATACCTCAAGTTGGGAATGTTTGTTGTTTGTTAAGAAACAAGCAGCTGAAGCATCCCTGAGAACAGACGTCCTTAGACGCAGAATCTCCAGATTGAGAAAGTGGAAGTACGTGGTACCCTCTCAAGTTCCAGACGAGTGATTATGCAATGTTTCTCTGAGCTCAGTCTTGTAGCAGGGCTTCTACCCCGCCCCATCCTCTTTGGAGGATCATGTGTTTACTATGCAGACATGACCGGTCTGTGGGGCATCTTCTCCTGCTTCTGTCATTGTGTCTGTAAGCATCCAGTGTATCGAACATCTGGATGACCACCTATCTACTTGTCTCTCCCCAGGTGGAACTGCGCCTGCGCCTGCGGGTCCCACAGACTGGCCACTACGTCATCATGCTGGAGTATGCCACGGAGGTAGACCAGCTTTTTGTGGTGGACGTGAACCTGAAGAGCCCAGGGTCTGCCTTGGCAGGCCAGGCGAACATATACAGCTGCAAGTACAGGTAATGAACCCCAGCCCCGGAATTCTTCCAGTGGGGAAGTCTGCCCAGGGCTTTGGTGATCACTGCACTGGACTTGCTTCCTTTTGAGGCAACCTTTGAAAACTAGTAGGGAACTAGGTATAGGGTATAACATCATCCCCAGCTTGGTTTGGGAGCCTCTCTGTGGGCAACATTGTGAACTAATATAACAGGTGCCCATCCCCCTTCATAATCTGGCATAATTAATGGTTGATGACTGCTCAGTGCACAAAGCAGTAACGGAGGACTCTCAAATCTACCCTAATGGAATTTTTTCTCAAGAGTGCTAATTGACAAGGGCTTACTACAAAGGATTTCCTTTGCATAACATTTCAAGAACACTCTTTAATTAAAGAGTCAGCACAAAGGATATTTGTAGGCCAGACTAAATGTGTAATCAATGACACCTAAGTTGTAGTCCCTTGATACACAAGTGGAGATCTGCAGTGAACACACCAGTTCTTGGCCACAACCTTCAACATTTTATTAACCTGTTTTTTATGGTGCTTTGCGTCAAACCCAAGATAACTTGAAGTATCTGACTATCTTCCTAGGTGGGAGGTGAAAAAATTATGCAAAGAGTAGCTTTCAACAGCTTAACATAGGCACTTTTTTTGTGTGAGTCCTGGTCAAATGTCTGTCGAATTAATGTTATGCTCCCAGTGATCCGAAATATGCAGCTCTGAGGACTTCTTTTGTGGAATGAAGATCCAAAAAATGAAGACTCATATGTGGATATATGTGTCGTGCTGAGGCTCAAACCCAGTGCCACGTGCATACTAGACAAGTACTGTCCCCCTAAGCCTGTATCCCCAGTCCTGTCCTTGAGTTTGAAGGGCATGAGATGAGGCTGAAGTAGTTTCTCAGAACAGTCTGTCGCTATCTGAGTATATGAGCCTCACATGCAGTTGGCCTCAGTACCACTGTAATTGTGTGCTCCCTGATGGGTAGGGCCTCGTGTCCTGAGTCCTGGGGGCATTGGCCAAGGGTTAATCATCATCTCTCTGTCTGAGCCCAGTTTCCAGTTCAGCCTTTAGACTCTCCCCATCTTCCAGATCCCAGGCCTGATCCCTTGTCACAGGATCTGGGAGGAGATGGAGGGATGTTCACAGTTAGTCTGGTGACTCTCCAGATGATCCCAGGACGACTCCACAACATCTACACCCAAGTTGGAGGAGTTTATTGTTGTTCTTTTGTTCAAGTTTGCTACAGTGAGATGGAACACGAAATGCAAAGATATATTAACCATAGAGTTTATTACAGGGCGGGAGAGAGGGGGAGAGATGAGAAGAGACGAAGAGGGTAAGAGAAAAGAGAAGGGAGAAGAGAGAGGAGGAGGCAGGGGCTTAGGTGTTGGCCAACTGGGAATGGTGGGGTGTGTGTGAACTTAAAAGAGGAAGCTTGCGAATGCGCACTGAGCCCCGTAAGGAGTGACGTAGCAATGATGTGTCCACACCACTGTGTGTGTCCCGCTTGTCATCAGCGGGGTACGGTCAGCCTAATGCCGGAAGTTCCAACATTTATATTTTGGAAAAATGGGGTCTTGTTGTGCAACCCAGGGTGGCCTTGAGTCCATGATCCTCCTGCCTCAGGGTCCTGGGTGCTGGGGTTATAGTCATGGGCCACCATACCTGGCCCGGCAGGCAGGTTTATCAAAGAAAGAAAGGGCCCTTGCAGGACTCCATGTGGGTTTTCTGATTAGTGCTGAGGGAGGCTCCATCACATTCTCGGTCCTTCAGCACACGACAGCACCTAAGCACGCATAGCAAATCCATCGCTAGAACAGCACAGCATCCTATTAGACTAGCAATAGCCTGTGTCGTACTTAGCCACCCCCAGGAAAGTCGCATTGCATAGTTTTACTTGGCTGGAGTATTTCCTTTTTCTATGCTTCAGGGGTCACAATGGTCAAGTGAAAGCAAAGGTAAGGAGTCTTGTTTTAAGTGACAGGCCTGCTCAGCATCGCACAGTCTTCTGCTGAGGTCTGAACGTCCCCTGCATGTCTCAAGTGATTTCTAACCACTCCGTCAGAAAGACATCTCAGCGAAACAGTGGCCAGAGCATCACTTTTCAGAGTAATGCCGTGATAAATCAAGTCTTCTCCCCAGAGTGCGGCTACCCGTAATGGATAAACCAACGACCATCTGTTTCTTAGTGAGGCTTTTTAAAGGATAATGATAAAACTAAATGCAAGTGAGTCAATGTATTTAGCTCCCAGGATGACACTCCAGCCCAAAAAGAACTGCTTCAATTGCACTCACACGCAGACTGTTGGGTTTCTATTTATGCACACAACTTCTGCTTGATTCTTTGCATAGTCTATCTCCTTTTAGTCATTGCCTAAACATCCTTGACTAAATTATCTCAGGTGTTTATTAGTGGTGGCCGTATTGTCTTATCCTATCACTGGTTCCATATTCTATGTATCCAAAGGAAAATGGCCTTAAATATGTTTTACAATGTGCTTCCCATCAGAGTCAGACGGATTCCATGTTGCAAAAAGATGACTTTAAAAATGGTCTCAAATTAGTTTCTCACCTGATGCAGTGGAAAGGGACGAAGGAAGAAAACAGACTCAGCCCTGAAGGCCGTCTGGCTTGCCCTTCCCTCATGTTAGGAAAGCCAGCAATGGGAAGGTCATTGCTAGGTAACTTGAATTACAAATGGTCTAAAGAATATTAGTAAATTTCCAAGAGATCTGCCATCACTGCCCCAGTGACTGATGACTAACGATGCCTTCCCTCACTCCAGGTGGAAAGGGAGAGCAGGGGCCGCCATCCTGAGAGGTACAGCAGGGGCCTGTAGCAGAAAGGTTGCTAGCAGAGATGGTGGTTGGAATCTAGTTCTCTCTGTGCTGCTATAGCAGAATAGCATGGACCTGGTACTTTATAAACAAAAGAAGTTCGTCTCTCACTGTTCTGGAAGCTGGGAGTCAGTGTGTGTTGGAGGCTTTTGTGCTGAGTTATTTCCATGGTGGAAGCCGGAAGGGCAAGGGGCACGGCAGTCTGTTTTTATATCAGAATCATTCCTTGGCCTAACCCACTCCCGCAGTAACAGCAATCCACCCACAGAGGACTGACCACTCCAGTAACAGCAATCCACCCACAGAGGACTGACCATCCCAGTAACAGCAATTCACCCACAGAGTGGGTGTCCATCCCAGTAACAGCAATCCACCCACAGAGTGGGTGTCCATCCCAGTAACAGCAATCCACCCACAGAGGACTGACCATCCCAGTAACAGCAATCCACCCACAGAGGACTGACCACCCCAGTAACAGCAATCCACCCACAGAGGACTGACCATCCCAGTAACAGCAATTCACCCACAGAGTGGGTGTCCATCCCAGTAACAGCAATCCACCCACAGAGCGAGTGTCTACTCCCTAGCCACCTTTGAAAAATCATGGAGATGCCAGGGGTTGGGCTAAAACATCTGTTTCCTTTTGCAGCATTCTGTGCAGGAGCGTGGTGATTGACAGCCTGAGTCGTACGGCTGTGTACGAGCTATTAGCAGATGCAGACATTCAGATCAAGGCACATATGGCCAAGTTCCTTCTGGTATGCTTTCATCTAGCCCATGGACTTAGAAGTCTTCCGCTGTCATCTGTATTCCCCCAAAGCTTATTATAATAGGGGCTGCAATTGCATTGTATCTATAAATTCAACCTGTGACAGTTAACTGTTCTCCACTTGAGCCTTCTTCATGTTACCTCATAAAGTTCAGGCATCAAATTTAATGCATCCCATAAAACGTCACATTTCATTAATTTTTGTTTATCATTATTATAAATGAAATACCTTTTATCATTATTTTTTCTACTTTATTATTATGTTTGGGTATAGAAATGATACTGGTTATCATTTAATTTCTGTCCCATTTTGCTATCCTATGTAGTTTCTTGGAGCATTCCTTCAGCTATTTAAAGTTTATAACTGCTTATATAATAATTCCCTATATTTCAGTAAGGGTATTATGTAATTAATTAGGTATATACCTTTAAGATTTGAATGCCAGCTAGACAGATTAATGACATTCATACCCATCCAGGTGATGGTGAGAACTATGATCAACAGTGGGATCTCCCTAGGAAAGGGATTGGAACATTTACAGGAACTGTCTCAGGGAATTTAAGATTACCCAAGTGTGAGACAGCTTCCTGTTACTGCTGGCAGCAAGCATGCATCACACCCGGGGATTGCCAGGGCGATGTGCTTTAAATATTTGTGCCTAGCCTAGCAGGACTAAGGAAAAACTTGGAATTTGAGGAATAGTTTGGAATCAGACTTTTAAAATTATTATTATGAAATGGTGGTTTTCTGTCTCTGAATCTAACCTCTTCATCTTTGGAAATTGCCCTGGGACTGACTCAGCTTTTTAAGTGTGGATTTGTCACTGAAGGTCAAGGTGACTTGCATGGATGTTCCATTGAAGGCAGGCGATTGTCCATCTGGGTCTTGTAAACACCCTACTTTTGGTGATGCTCCACGCATTTTTGTTTATGCCACTGCCAAACTACTTTGCCATCAAGATGGTGATACAGTTTGACTTCAAATCTAACAAAAGATACTTTAATGGCTGACTTTCTTATGTGACCCCAAGCTAGCTTTAGACAAATCCCTCAAGGTCCAAGTGGGCTGATGTCTGAGATACCTTCGCCAGATACAGTCATGTCTTTGAACAGCAGGCCTGTTGGCCCCTTTCTCTTCCTCCTTGAGCATTTCAGGTGTCAGCATTGACCCTAAGTCAGAGAGAAACAAGAAGCCCCAAAGGCCCTGGACAGAGCTGATCTTGAATGTTCCCATGATTTTGTTCTTGGTCTGATTTGTGAAATTATTCTAACAACAATGTAGTCAGTGATCCCGTATAATAAGAAAAGGGATTTTTTTTTGCCTGTGGGGGTGCTACATGCTTGCCATCCTGCAATTTTACTACTTAAAAATAATATATATTTTCCGAATGAGTTCTTTACTTAATAACTGCTTTTAAAGAGTGTGGCAGGGTCAATGGCTTTGCCAATAACTACTGTGTGTTTTTACTCATTTGCTCGCAGTATCATGTTTGTATTATACCCACTGAGGAATTCTCAACTGAATATTTGAAACCTCAAGTCCACTGTATTGCCAGTTATGGGCCGTTTGCTAACCCAAGGTAATGTGTTTCCCTTCTTCCTTATCAATACTCTGAGAAATCGTGTCAAATATGTAAGTATGGCATTTTATGCAGGTTGGTGATCCCTTCTCAAATGCTCGAGACCCTAACTAATTTGAATTCGGGAGCATTTACAAATACATAACAAGGTATCTTTGGGATAAGACCCAAGTCCAAACCAGACATGAGTTATCTGCCACATGCAACTTTTTCATATCGCCTGTAGTTAAATTTATATGGTATATCTGGTGTGCCTCTGTTTGGATTATGATCTGTCACAGGGGTCACCAGTGGAATTTTCCACTTGGGGCATCATGGCAGCACTCAAGAAGTCTCAGATTTTATAGCTCTGGGATCTAGAGTTTGGGGTGCTGAGAATCTGCCTAACTGCGGTATAAGGCAAGACACTGATGTTTAGTATGGGATGTTAAGAAGAGAAAAACTGTGGAGGGGGAGAGCTGGCTCAGCAGTTAAGAGAGCTTGCTATGCAGTCTCGATGACTGGAGTTTGGACCACAGCATCCCTGTAACTAGCTGGGCTGGGCATCCTGCACACACCACAAGCCCATCAGCTCCAAGATGGGCATCAATAGATCACTAGGGCTTGCTGGCTTCCAGCTAGCCAAGAGCACACAAGCCCCCAAGCTCAGGGAGAGAGCCTGCCTCAAGCAGAGAATAGGGAGAGGACACCCATGCCCTCTTCTTGCTTCTGCTCACACATGCAAGCATCCACACCTTCACATACATGTACACATGTATTCATACACAGATACATACACACACAAACTATTTTTTAATTTAAAAATAAGAAGAGTTGATGCAGCTAATAACTCTTCCCAGCTGTCAGTTTTCCACAGGCCCATAGTATACATCATGGCACAGACACAGCAGCCACTGGGGAATGGTTAAGCCTGCTCCTTGAGTGCAGGTCTGCTAAGTTCTCCTCTGAGCCCTCACTTTGTTCCAATCCTTTCATCTCTGTGTCGAGGCTCGTCTTTTGGACAAACCACAAAAATAATGATCCATCTCAGACCTGTGATATCAGAACTAGCTAATTAGTGCTCGTTGCGGTTTTCAGGGGTGTTGTTTTGCATTAGATCCAAGAATAATTAAAAGGTTCAGCCATGGAAACTTGTGTGCATGGTTAGGACTCTAGAAGCCTCTAGCACAGTGCCATTTTAGCCGTGAAACAAGCTACACACATTTGTTTCTCGTCTCTCATACCAGCATTCCTTCAGAGAGATCTCATTTGATTGACTGACTTCTGTTTGGGAAAAGGAAGTATCGATAAATTTCTATTTTATATGTCTTAAAATGAAGATCTTTCTGTTTTAACTGCCCAGTTGAGCAAGTGCCTGGAACAGGCTTGGCCAACAGGCCGCCCTAGTACTGCCATAGGAAGGTCTCTAGATCCCCACCCTCTGATTTAGCCTGGCACGCAGTCCACATCTCTTTCTTTGTCAATGACTGTTATGCAGTGATTTTTGTTTGTTATAATACAACCATATTTTTAAATGCTTTATTTTTCTAGTGTCACCTGTGTTTCCCTGGCCCATGAAACTCCTCCAACAGCCTTAATTTTGGATGCTGGGAGTGGGGACCCTTTCTCTGTCCTGTCTCAGCAGCCCTCCCCTCCTGCAGATGTCACTAATGGAGTTACCCTGAAGGCACCACAGGTAGGAACACCCTCCACTGTATTGTTTCTGGACCAATGGTTCCCAGAGTGTGGCGCCCACAGTCCCTACTGCCACCTGATATGATACGACTCAAGAGACCTTGGCTGGTTAGATCCAAGGAACCCCACCCAACGGCTGGCAAGAGACACATGCCATGCAGACAGTGTTCACCTGGAGAGTTTTACTGGGGGGAGGGGAGGAGAGAGGGGAGAGGGAAAGGAGTGCAGAGCTACCTAGTGGGAAAACAGGGGGGGCCGGGGAGGAAGAAGAGAGAGAGAAAGCAGGAGGGGTTCTGCCTTTTAAAGAGAGGGGCGCAGCACATGTGCACAGAGACCACACAGCAGGCCAGGATACTGCCTGTGTACTGAGCATGCCTGCAGGGGTGAGGCCCTCTGCCAGATCTCCAAGGGTGTGCCAGGTGTGCCTGAATGTTGACACCTCCCCTGCCAAGCAGCATCACCTTGGGGCTTGTTTGGGATGTACATTCCTAGGCCCCGCCCCAAAACTCCTTCATTCCATGCTCTGGAGTGATTTGTATTTTACCCATTCCCAGCCTCCTACCCTGCCCCCCGAAGTTTGGGAACTTCCACTCTCAGCTGTGGACCATTGAGGGATGCAGAGAGTGGGTGGCCTTGACTGTGACCCTGCTGCCCTCCCCTACTCCCGTGTTGCAACACCTATTGCTTTCATGGGCGGAGGCCTTGCCTTGTGGAGTGTTCGTTCTCTCCCCTGATGGATTACAGAACTTTGAGAAGAGCCGCTGCAGCCAGGAAACTGTTAACCATCCCCTGCTGCACCAACACAGGACCATTTAGGTGGGGAATTCTCAAGAAACACCGATTATCATCTAGGGCCAGGAGGTGAAATCTAGTAAGGTCATGAAATGTTTTTACCAAAGCCATAAAATAAAAAAAAATGACAGGATCACTTTAAAAATCACAACATTCTGAGTTATGGAAATATGCTGAACATCTGATGCTACTGCATGAACCCAGCAAGGGCTCTTCTCAGCTCACCTAGTGGCCGACTTAGAAACTCATGCTATCTGAGAGAAAATTGCGGAAGGGTTCCGTAAAGAACCAAAGTAGCTGCTCAGTGGGTGAAAAGGGGAAAGTTTGCTTCAAGCTGCCCAGGCTGTCTCTCTGGGAAGCAGAGAAAGGCATGGTGTGGAGCAGGGTTTTTAAGGAATGCGGTGCATGGCAGGCAGGAGGGGAGACTGAGCTGGGATGCAGGGCTTTGAGGAGTACATCGGGTTCCCCTGAGTAGGGACTGAAGGAGTCTAAAGGCCAGCACTGACCTTGACGTGCTAATGGGCATAGGTTAATGGAAGAGCCAAGTCCCTCCTGCCTCAGATAAGGAGAATGACTCCTTTTAGCAGCTAGGGACTATTTTCTCAAGTCCCCGAGGGAATGCTGGCTTTTATCTCAGTGCCAGATTTAGGTGGAAGGAAATTTGGGGGACCAGGCATTCTCATAGGAGGTCTTGCAGCTAAGGGGAAGAGAGCTGAAATAAAGCCCTGGTCTTGCTTTTACACTAGAACGTTGGTTATTTACCTCACACCCATCACGTAAAAGATGGATAGAGGCCTGCAATACAGCCTCCCCCTCCCCCCCAGTTAAAAAGGAAAGGCCTTTGCTCACCAGCCTGGAATGTTGGTGGAAGGAGAGAACAGATTCCTGAAGGTGTCCTTTGGCCACCATATGCATGCCAGGCCCCCACCCCAGTGCACAAAGAAGCATGACACAAAATGGCCCCCACCCCAGTGCACAATGAAGTGTGACAAAAATTGGCTCCCACCCCAGTGCACAAAGAAGCGTGACAAAAATTGGCCCCCACCCCAGTGCACAAAGAAGCGTGACAAAAAAATTGCTTTGAAAGATGACAAACTTCCCTCACTGTTGCAGTGGTGTTGTTGCTGAAGGTTTTTTGAGTTAGAAGAGCTGGGCATATTCACTTGGGCAGACAGATTAGCTCGGGCTTCTGTTGTGCTTGGAAAGGGGGTGGGGAGTGGGAGAGGGTATAGCCCAGAATGAGGCTCCCTTCCGCAGACTGGAGCTTGTGTGGCCTGAACTTTCCACCCACAGGGAGGGTGTGGACTCCCGGGTTTCCTCAGCAGCTTGCCCAGGTGTGAGGCAAACAGTATGAAGTGGTCATTGCTATAAATAGTAACCGACCTTACAGGTTCCCAGGAAGGAAGGGATCTGAGGTGAAGTCACCTGCAGAGGAGTTTTATTAGGACAGTTACAATGTCACAGCCTGAGGTGGAGGGCAAGCCTGAGGTGGAGGGCAAGCCTTCAGACTGGAGGAGAGATACCCACCATGGATAACATAACTAGTGAGCCTGAAGGAAAAGAGTCAGGGCCTTCAGTTCACAAGATGCTGGGGGAGTAACACCTCAGGCCAAACACATGAAGGAAAAAGTCTTCAATGACAAAGAGCAAAGTAGTCTTGCTCTTATGGTTTTGGGGTGTGGCTAAGTTCTGCACCACGTGACCTAGCCTGCGAATAGGCATCAGAAAGGTCCCTAGGGAGGTCTGGCAGCAGGATTAGCCTGCAGCTGAGCCTAGGAGGAGCTCACCCATTTGAGATGCCTGTTAGCTTTCTGGAGAGGCACAGATTGCAGGAGGCATGGCTTGATTTGGGGAAGGCAGACCAAGCATATTTGTCACGTAACCGAAAGCTTCCTCACAAATGGAAGCCTGCTCATTCTTACATGTGTGCTGAGTCCCTCCTGGCAGCGTGCGTGTGGCACCACCGGCAGCGTGCTTGCCTAGCCCTTTGGCAAACATACTGAGCATTTCTGTTGGGCGTGTACCCAGGCATGTAACTGCTGTGTCATGTGTTTGGCTTTGATAAATACTGCCAGTTTTCCAACATGATTCACCAAGCCTGCTCCCCCAACATCCACCAAATGTATGGTTGTGCCTCAGTTTCTCCATTCTGTAGGCGAGAGACATTTGGTCTGTATCTATGCTTTTTAAAAATTTTTTATTATGTATGCATATAGTGTTCTATGCTTAGACACCAGAAGAGAGCACCAGATCTCATCACGGATGGTTGTGAGCCACCATGTGGTTGCTGGGAATTGAACTCAGGTCCTCTGGAAGAGCAGCCAGTGCTCTTAACCTCTGAGCCATCTCTCCAGCCCTGATCTGTATCTAATTCTTAAGAATTTATTAGTTTATTTTTTACATTCCAATTCTAGCTCCCCCTCCCTCCTCATCTTCTGATACCCCTACCCATCTGCTCCTTGGAGAGGGGGTAAGGCCTCCCCTAGGAAGTCTGCTAAGTCTGTCCCATCATCTTGTTGAGGCAGGACCAAGACACCTCTCCACCCCCACACCCTGTGTCTAGACTGAGCAAGGTGTCTCTCCATATAGAATGGGCTCCACTAAGTCAGTTTGTGCATTAGAGTTAGATCTTGGACTGCCAGTGGCCTCATATATTGTCTCAGCCGCACCATGGTTAGTTGTGGATTTCTGCATGGGCTTCCATCTGTTTCTGGAAGAGGGTTCTAGCTTCTCTGGGGTTGTGGACTGTAGGCTGGGTGTTAGGATAAAGGGCAAGGGGGACCTTTCGTGGGGGACCACAGCGTATTTCATGGCAGGCAAAGGTGACTGGGGGGGCAAACATGCCGGGCAGACAGGGCTTAAGTGAGAAGTTTTATTAGAAAGGGGAGGGAGGGGGAGTAAAGAGAAAAGAGGTGAAGAGACACAGAGACAGAGAGAGGAAAAGAGGGGGACAGGAACAGTCCTGTCTGCCCTAGGGGGACAGTGGGAAGCAGAGAGTGGAGAGAGCAGGAAAAGATCAGAAAGAGTGTAAGTGGGTGGGATCTGTCTTTTAAAGGGGTCCTTTGTACCTGGGTGCAGACTAGTACTCACGTTACCCTGGGCTGACCAGAGTACTGCCTGAGTGCATTCTGCCGGGTGACAGGGGTAGGCCAGTGTAATGCCTTAATCCTTACACTGGGTATCTTTTGCTTTATGTCTGCTATCCACTTATGAGTGAGTACATATTATATTTGTCTTTCTGGGTCTGGGTTATCTCACTTAGGATATTTTTTTCTAGTTCTGTCCAGTTGCCTGCAAATTTTAGGATGTCATTGTTTCTTCCTGTAAGCAGTACTCCATTGTATAGATATATTATATTTTCTTTATCTATTCTTTGGCTGAGGGGCATCTAGGTTGTTTCCAAGTTCTGGATATTACAAATAATGTTGCTATAAACACAGTTGAGCAAATGTCCTTGTGGTGTGAATGTGCCTCCTTTGGGTGTATGCCCAACAGTGGTATTGCAGAGTCTTGAGGTAGGTTGATCCCTAATTTTCTGAGAAATCACCATACTGATTTCCACAGCAGCTGTACAAGTTTACACTCCCTCCAGCAATGGAAGAGTGTTCCATTTTCTCCACATCCTCTCCAGCATAATGCATCTAATTTTTGTTGTGTATGATTGCAAGTTTAAGTTTCTTTAAACATGCGAAGCCTTCTTTAGTAATACAGCAGTTGCCATTTTAAATACCTAGTTTGTTCTAGTTTTTTAACCTGGTTGTATAGTTGCTATAGCAGGATACCTAAGGCTGGGTAATTTATAGAGAAGAGGTTTTCCTAGGTCGTGGTTCTAGAGGCTGGGAAGTACAAGATCAGGTAGCTGTGTCTGGCAAGGATCTCATGGATATCGTAGCATGGCTGAAGGGGCCACATGGTCGGAGCTTGTGTTCCAGTAGCAAATGGTCACTTGTTCAAGAGAAGACGGACAAAGGTGGCTGATGCTTCTGAACAATTCACTCTCGTGATAACTGACCCCACCCTATGAGGGAAGAACTAGCTTCTGCAGGTATTTTTAATCTGTTCACAAAGGCTCTGGCCACATAGTCTAACTGCTTTCCCTAAACCCTTTAAACCTTTGGCGGGTCCCACAGCAGGTGAGGGACAAACATCGGGTGAGAGACAGAGACTTGCAAACTTAACTTATGTGGAAAGTTTGTTGGGGAAAGGCAGGGGAGTAAGGAAAGAAGAGAGAAGAGAGAAAGAGACAGAGACAGAGAGACAGGGAGACAGTGACCCACCCACCCCCCCTAACTGACAGAAAGACAGAGAAGGTGGGAGGAGTTAACCTCATAAGGGGCCTTGGCACCTGCATACAGAGCCAGGGTACTGCTTGCCATGTGCAGAGGTGGCACGTTTTATCAGGTCCCCAAGGGGCGGGGCCAGGTTTGCCTGGATTACAATACCCTGCATCTCAACATTGCATTGAAGAATTAAGTTTTTATAGGGCCCAACTAAAGCCACATTCCATGTCCTAATCCTTCAGAGTTCTTTAGTTTGAGAGTTCCATCTTTGTTTTCTTCTTAGACTCAAGTCACCCTGAGAGGACTTACACCACACCTCGGCCGACACGTCTTTGTCATCCACTTTTATCAAGCAGAACACCCAGCATTTCCCACAGAGGTGTTTGTGGATGGAGGAGGACACTGGTCAGGTAAGTAGCCACAAGCAGGCTCTGCAATGTGTGCCTGATGTCACCAGCAGGCTCCAGGACACGTGCCTGATGCAACATCTCTCCCTCTCCAGGTTCCTTTCTTGCCTCCTTTTGCCCTCATTTGCTTGGCTGCCGGGACCAAGTGATCTCCAATGGCCAGGTGGAGTTTGACATCTCAGAAGCAGAGGTAGCTGTGACGGTGAAGGTTCCAGAAGGAAAGTCCTTGACACTGGTGTGTTTTGCTTAGCCTTCAGTGTGCTTCTTGGCCAGCCATTATGTGTTAGCCTCCTGCCAATACTTTCTCCATGGAATTAACCCTGTTTAGTGGAAAGGTTGATGATTTGTAGGAGTGTTACTGTTTTACAAGCCCATAAAGATGAAACCATGTGACAAAGCAGGAGACGAGGAATGACCGATGATAAAAGCCTTGCCTACCCCCAGCCTGTGCTTGCTCCTTGCCCCCGCTGGCCCCTCTCTGAAGCCTTTACCCTGTTTGCTACTTTCTGTCACTTTGTCCTGCCCTCGTTAGTGATTTTCCTTACCCTGGTCTCCATATGTTGTTGTGACCCCAGGTTCCACTCTGAGACCCCTTGTGTCATTTCCTGTGGTCATCATCCATGCCTGGTAAGTCTGTTCCCTGCTCTGTGGGGACAGCACCTGTGTCTCTGAATTCACTCTTGATCTTGCCTCAGCTGCAGGCCCTGCATCTGCCCACACAGGGTCCTCTCTGACTGGGCCTGACCTGCTCTTCCTGTTACTGAACCGGCTTCACTCTGAGTCAGGTCCTTGCTCCGTTCACCAGCATCCCCCTGGTCTATCCACTTCATTCTGGATCATTCGCCTCACTCTGGACTCCAGGGGTCTTTCCTGCCCGCTTATAGTTCTTCTTTCTTCCTTGCCTCCTCTGTCCCATGCTCCCCTGCCATTTTCTGACCATGGTCATCATTCAGAAGCTCAGCAGATTTTTACAGAACACAGGAGAGCAGTGGCCTCGCTGTCAGCTGTAAGCTGGTAAACAGTTGCTAAAGACATTGACCATTCCCTCAGGGTTTGTGAGTGCTGTAACTGGGCACGCGCAGGTGTAGGAAAACTGAATCATGCTACAGTTATTCAGTATAGTGTACTGTATTACTTACTTGTCTATTACTGTGATAAGAACACTATGACCAGGACCACGTATAGCAGGAAGGATGTATTTGGGCTTGTGGTTCTTGAGAATGAGCATCCGTGATGGATGGAGGCATAGTGACAAGCATGTTCAGAATGCCGAGAGCTCACATCTTGAGCCACAACAGGAAACAGGAAGCAGGAGTGGGAGGGTGTGCGTACAAACTGGGCTCTCAAAGTCTGCTGCCAGTGACATATGTCCTCCCAGAGGGCCACACCTCCTAGACCTCCCCAGATAGTGCTACCACCTGAGGATCAACTGTTCAAATACGTGAGCTGTGCAGGACATTCTCATTTGGTCCACAGGTACTACATAAACTTCAGAGGAAGGCCACGATAGTGGGTTCCCTGTTGGTTCCACAACTTCAGCTTGCTTACCTTTAAAATATAAAGCAGTGAGTGACCCCTGGAGGACGAGGGAGTCCCAGGCATGCATCACACGTTGCCCCAGGCAACCCTAACAGGCTGTGCTAGGGATACAAGTACCTAGAGCCAACCACCACTGATAGTCCTTGCTCCTTGGAGCAGGTGGAGCAGGTGCTTCAAGAGCCCACTGTTTCCTAGCAACTGCATTGAGCCTTCACCAACCTCAGGTGTGTTCCCCCAGCTCCTTCCCAGATCCCCTCTTGCTGGCACTCAGATAAGCAGGAAAGAATGTGGGGTCCCTCTCCTCTCTCCTCCTCCTTCACTGGTCTTAGTCACGGGTTGATGGCTTTCTTTTAGGTCCGGGTTCTAGTGGTGCCCATAGAGAATTATGACTACCAAATACTTCACAGGACGTCAGTGGACAAGTCCTCCGAGTTTGTCGACAGTTGTGGAGGAGACAGTTTTTACATTGAGTGAGTGTCGTTTCGTGGGAAGGCTCTGGCACGCACGGGGCATGCTCACATTCCCAGCCAGAGGGAGGTCTGGAGAGAGATTGGCCCAGAGTCAGCCTCCTCTTCTCACCACCAGGAGGGTAGTGAGGCCGGAGTCTCAGGAAGGTGATAGCATTTCTCTGTGCCCACCACTGTCTGAGAGACCTCAGACACGTACCATCTCAGCAAGGTGACCACGCTCAGCTTTGAGCTCAGTGGAGGTCTACTCTCAGCTGGGAGTTAGGAACCCCTTGCTAATCCCTATTTGCTGCTTTATCCTAAAAGATACCAAAAGGGGAGTCTTCCACTGGCAAGGACATATAGCCCAGGTCCCCACCGTGATGGGGACTGTGTCCTCTGTGCCTTGTCTTCTCTCATCCCTGAGTGCCAAGGGCATGCCAGCCACAATACATGCTCTGTGGTGGAACCCAGTGCCCCTTAGAAGTTTCTAGAAGGAGCCAGGAGCTCCAGAGGCAGTCTCCTCTTGTACAGCGGAGTCAAAGCTGAGGCCCCAGAGCAGGATTTAAATGACACCTCGTCAGCTCCATACCTCTCAGCCTCAGGAGCGTCACCCTACAGCTAAGGTCCCTTATCTGTGAAACGACCCCACTGGCTGGATGTCTGTGAGGCTGACATGTAGTGACATCTAGCACATCGTCTGGTCCCCTGATCTTTCCACAAGCTGTGCCACATACCACACGGCATCCTGAGACTGCCTCGTCACCATCTCCCACTGGGCATTCCTGTAATGCCCTCTCCTGGGGCAGATGTTGGGGACAGGGTGGCTGTCACTGGCTAAATCCACAGTGGGGGTAATTTTCCGCTTTTTCCCAAAGTCCAGCGCTCAGTGCCCCCCCCGAGAGATGCTGCGGGGTGGAACTGGTAGGGAAGGGAAGTTGAGGATAGACACGTATACCAGGTTGTCACCACGAGTTACTCTGTTTTCACAGCCCCCAAGCAGCCTCCGGATTCTGTAAGAGTTCTGCAAGGTCCCTGGTCGCCCTTTACCATGACGGTGCCCTGCCCTGTGAGTGCCACGCCGCTGGGGCTGCCAGCCCTCACTGCAGTCCTGAGGGCGGGCAGTGCCCTTGTCGGCCTAACATCGTCGGGAGGCAGTGCACACGCTGTGCAGCAGGCCACTACGGATTCCCACACTGCAAGCGTGAGTGACACTGCCAGGCTTCTGAAGCCTTCCTTGGTCCCTGGAGCATGGTGCTCAGGCATGACAGGGCCTCTCAGGTGTCATCGTGGACATACACTTTGGGGCTTATGATGAGGTCCTGATTCTGCAGACATAGCCTGGGCCTAAAACTGCATTCCTAATAGACATCCAGCCTATCTCATGCCACATATCTGCAAACTGTACTCTGAATAGCAAGGCTCTAGGCTATAAATATAAACGTGAGTATTTACTTATCATGTGAGAAACTTGGTCCCCTTCCTCTCAGAAGTCCTTTCAGGTTGTGTGGCCCAAAGAAAACTCCATTTAGACAGGACCTTCAAGGTCTCATGGGTATAATACTCTCTAAATTAGAAACCCTGTATTTTCACCTAAGATCCGCCCCGTGGTCTGATGCCCTGGCTCAGCCCACGCCATAAGTGGTGATAAGAGCACCGGTGAGCTTACAGAGCATCGAAGGGGGACCAGTCTTTGTCAGAATAACAATGTCATTACTGCATAATGTGCCGACCACGGGCCCTGGATCTGCAGAGCGTTGGGAAGCTGTGGAGCTACTTCAGAATGTCTTCAACAGTCACTACTCGGTGCCTTCTAGAGACTTCTGTTGAACAGGAGGTCTGAGTTAGAATGGGATGCCAGCAGCCTGATATGTTTGTGGAGAGTGTATCCTAGAGCCCATTAGTCCAGCTGCTCTTCACTTGGGGGCCTCACACTGTTATCTCCTGGAAGTCCTTGTTGTGACTACCTCAGATCACCATGGACAACAGCACCAGTACAGAAAGGAAAGCAAAACATGTCCCCAGACTCCTTGGAAATGCGTGGAAATCCCAGTGTTGTCTATAGTCCAACTTTTTGTTTTGTTTTGTTTTGTTTTTTGTTTTTACGAGACAGGGTTTCTCTGTATTGTTTTGGAGGCTGTCGGTCCAGCCTGGCCTCGAACTCACAGAGATCCGCCTGCCTCTGCCTCCCGAGTGCTGGGATTAAAGGCGTGTGCCACCACTGCCCGGCCTATAGTCCAACTCTTAAATGGTGTCTCTTTGTCCCTTGGCAGCTTGTAATTGTGGCAGACGCCTTTGTGAAGAGGTGACAGGAAAGTGTCTCTGCCCACCCCGCACAGTCAGGCCCCAGTGTGAGGTCTGTGAAGTGAATTCCTTCAACTTCCACCCCCTGGTTGGCTGTGAAGCCTGCAACTGCTCCAGGAAGGGCACCATTGAGGCAGCTGTCTCTGAGTGCGACAGGGACAGCGGGCAGTGCAGGTGAGCTATGGTACAGGAGTGTGCCAGATCCTGTCATCAGACAACCAGGTGCCAACTGTGTGTATGTTGGTCATTGTCGCTCTTCACTTCTCACCTGTGCGCTGTGATGGCCTCGGGGTGGAGATTCTCAACAAGAATGGACTTTGGTGGGTGAATTGGTTGGTCCATCCATATTTGGGTCAGCCATGCAGAGCTCCAGGTGAGGGTACCAGTTACCTTAAAGCCAGAAGCATCCTTGCCCATTTACCCCAACATGTTGTCGTGATAGGACTGTGCTGTGTGTGTGTGTGTGTGTTCTGTGAAACCATTGACTTGATAGTTTGAGTGTCCATCTGGCATAATGTAGAGTCATCTGGTAAGGGGTCTCGACCTGGTCTAGACAGTCCCTCATGACTCCCGTCCCAGGTGACTCTAGACTGTGCCTCGCTGACATAATCAACCATCGAGGCCTCCAAAGCAAAGTTTATGGGTTATGGGGAACCAGAAAAGGTTGGCTGTCTTCAGGAACCTCTGTGGTCCAGCTCACAATAGCTGAGAAATTGTGGCTATGCTAGTTATTTGTTCCTGTTGCTGATTTAAAATGCCCCAAGAAAAGTAAGTTAAAGAGAAAGGGGTTCACAGTTTGGGATTACAGTCCATTATGCTGGGGAAGGCATGGCAGAAAGCTCTCCAAGTGGTTAATCCCAAGCATCTGTAGCCAGGAAGCAGGGGGTTGATGAATTCCAGAGGTCAGTCGCTTTCTCCTTTTTATTCACTGCTAAGGATTTCACTCTCTGTATGTTTATTGTAAGGACACCAGTCAGGGTGGCTTAATAGACAGCAAATTACATCTTAATTACATCTGCCTTAATTACATCTATGAAGACATATATCCAGGTAACAGCCCATTGCTGGAACTGGGAGTTAGAACCAGAATGCATGCTCATGTCTTTGGTGGACACATTTCAACCCTCCATCACAGCAATGGTTCACTTTCCAAGGAGGAGCTCTTCCAGTTCTTCTAGGTAGGGAGACACTGTGTGGAAGCCAAGAGAAAAACCAGTCATGGACCATCCCGAGACTTTGAAACCACAACAGTGAGTCCTGCCTGAGTCAACGAGCCAGTCAGTGATCAGGCACGGGCCTCTTTGTGATGTCTGGGTTTAATCACAGGAAGCAAAGGTACTGAGAAGTGGCTGGAGAATTGATGTTCAGATGGGGAGAAAAGCGAGAGAGCCCAATCTAAGTCTCTGTTGGTGGAGAACCTGAGTTTTCCAGTACTCCTGAGAAAGGGGAAGAAGGGCTTGGAAAACTTAAACCGGTTAAAGCAGCAGGAGATGACAGATGGGTTGACTGTAGCATAGTGTTTTAGGAAAACATTCTGAGGAATTTTAACAACTCACTACCAGTAATGATAATTTAACTGACTACAAACTTCTTAACTTGGGAGCAAGGCATGTCATATAGTTCTGTCTGGAAAAGGGACGTAACTGATGAGTGTCATGCTTAAATAAAATATGAAACTGCTCACTTTGACAAATCACCAGAGACTGCATAACCTGATGGGAACACATACCAGTACGTGGTCAAATGGCTTCATTCTAAAGGAGTCTTTAGCAGATAACACTAAAAGACAGCAGCAAAACAACTTCAGCAGCTTTCCACAGACTGTAAATTGCACATATTCTAATATTTATACAGAAAAACACATTTAATTACTTAAAATACTAACTTATTTACAAATTTTTTCGTGAAATTTTTGTGTGTGTGTGTGCGTGTGTGTGGCCAGAATTCAACCTCAGATATCTTCTGTGGTCACTGTGCATGTTTGAATCTAAACCTTAGCCATCTGCCTAGGCTGGCCAGCCTGTGTGCCCTGAGGTCTGTCTGTCTCCACCCCATCCTCAGCACCGGGTTTATGTATGTGCACTGCCCCGTCTGGCTTCTGTGGGTGCTGGGGATCTGAACTCTGGGTTTCTTGCTCTCATGGCAGGTGCTTTGTGCACTGAACCATCTCCCCACTCTCATAAAAGATTTTTCGTGTAAAAATTGCTTCCCTGTGCACCAGGAAATTTCCAGTTGGCAGTAAGGAGGACTGTGTCATTTAGGAATAACTTATTGGACTTATAAAACTGAGTTTTCAGCCCGCTTTTATGACAGAGTAACTACCTGGAAGACACTGGACAGGTCGCTCTGCTATCCTGGGTCGCAGTTCCCAATGCAGAAAATGAAATTTGGCAAAAATCATCTCTGATTTTGCATCTGGATTTAAACTTCTGATCTTATTTCCTGCTCAGTCACTGATGGCATCCAGACAATATTGTGTCACCTCCAGGCCAGTCTACCTGGCCAATACCAATAGACTGAAGTTCTCACAGTGGCTTTTGTAGCTGGTGTTTGTAGCAATACAAAGCAGCAGATGTGTGGATTTAAGAACTGGAGTAGTAGGAGAAATACAGTTTATCTGTTCCCAGTAATGGAAAATGAATACTATTGGGCTCTTGAAATGTTCCAAAGGGTCATAATATCCTCAGAAGAATGTTTCCAACCTGTGGTAGAAACACAGAAGCTGGACCACTGCCTTTAGAAACTGCCATGATGGGACTCACCCTCGGGCTATCGTAAGGTGGATTAAGGAGATGCCCCTCCACCATGAGCGTCAGGTGGATGCTTTGGAGCCAGGCATCCCGAGTGCTTTTCCAGTGGAAAGACTCCATCTCAGCTGCCCCTCACAGCCTTGTAAGATGGAGGAGCAGAATCCCAGAAGACTTGGCATGCCTGGGGCAGAAGAGCTTCCAGCCAGGCTTAGCAACCTGGGAAGGCAATCCCTTTATTGGCCAATCAAATGATAGGAATGGGGGCGCCAGGCTATGTGGTCATCGGGGAAGGTAGGGATCTTGCACACCCCTCCCTTTGTCCTTCATGTCCTGTGACATCTGTCTCTCATGCCTGGAACGACCTTTCTCGGGCTGTTTCTCATCCCCCATCCTCAGTGAAGAGCAGTGTGGCCTGAGTTTATAGCAGGTCATGTTCTGCCTCGGCCACCACTATTTGGGTGACCTTGAGCAAACTCGTGAGAGCACTCTGGCCTTCTGGAGAACAGCAATGCTCCGTCTCACACTCCCTTTCTACAGGGATGTTGGTCAGTGCCGTGGTTGTCTGCCTCTACCTTTCTGTGCCATTTCCTTCTGCGCTTAGCCCCCTCCTCTCCTGGCCACCTCTTGGATACACACTCCCCTCCGATCCTCACTGTCTTCCAATCTTTACCACAAAGCAACCCACCTCGATTCTCTGACTTTACTTAGGACCACGTCTCCTGAATCCCAGGGCTCCTGTCTTCTCATATATATAATGGGAAAAAACTAAAGACTTGATTTGATTGTGTGTATATTCATATGTCTGTGTGTATGTGTCAGTATATGTTCACATGTGTGTGCAGGTGCCCTTAGAGGCCAGAGAGGGTATTGGATCCCTTAGAGCTGGGGTTACAGGGATTTGTGAGCCACCTGATATGTCTGCAGAACCAAAGCAGCAGGACCTCCATGATACAGGGCAACAACTGGACATCTGAGAGGAGTCCCGGTGAGGATCCTGTACTGATAGCGTAGCAGAAGCCAGAGGCCTCGAAGCAGACCAGTGATTCGTTGCAATGAGTGTTTGCATGTAAAACTGTTTGGGCAAAAGGTATACTGTGACACATCATGACTCAAAGCAGCCGCCATGCGAGACTGCTTGTTTCTTTGGAAGGGGAGGGGAGATGTGGAGATATGGAGGGGCAGGGAGATGAGTGGTCTGTCCTTCCTGCTGGCTGCTACCCTCACTAAGTCCCTGTGGCACTTCGTGTTGACCCGAGAGTGGCGCTCTCCTGATTGGCTCTCCTCCAGATTTATTTATTCACTCATTCAAGTAACTGTCCTAAGGAGTTGGCTGATACCATGACAACAGAGAAGAAAACGGAAACTTCCTTTCTGAAGTCTGGCTGAGCATGTCTTAAACAGACCTTGAGTCAGACTGACCTTACATATTTCTTTAGGGAGAGTCTGGATCCCTAATTTAATAGGAATGCGCTAATTCACAACGATGCTAGGATATTAATATCTGTTCCTCCAGAGTTCTCACTGGTACATAATGCTGTTAGTTCGTAAAACTTGACACTGTACTGATAAATGCATATTTCTGATTCCATTGCCTTTTAGAGTCCTTATTGTAAATGTTTGATCATACCTAAAATGATATTTATTGACTATATTAAATGATAGATGTGTGCTTATGCATACACTGTGATCCTTCAACCCATAACGTTGTATAATGATCAAGTCTGGGTAATTTTTTTCTCTTCTGGTTGCTTTGAGTAAAACACCCCTCTTCCTTCTTATATAAATAACACTTTACCTATTGACTACACCTTTCCCAGCCGTTCTCTCTGCCCTTCACAGCCTCTAGTAAACACGACTCTGCATTCACCTTCTATGAGCTCTACACTTTTAGGTGTCCATTTATGAGTAAGATCGTGCCGTATTGACTCGTGTGTATGGCTTAATTCAGCTAGCACAATTCCCTCCTGTCCATGTATTGTATAAATGACAGGGTTTCATAACTGGGTAGTACTCTGTTCTGTACATGTGCCATGTTTCTTTATCCATCCATGCACTGATGGGCACGTGGCTTGATTCTGACTGTTTGGCAGTTGTAAACATCCCTGTGGTGACGGTGGGCATGGGGCTGTCTCTATGACACACCGTTATCATTTCCTGTGCACGTAAACCTAACCATGGGCACTGTATAGTTTGAATTGCTCAGTCTTTGCCTAATGCTTCGCTTTGGAGCCAGTGTTTCAGTTACGTTCATGTTGTAAGGAGGAAACCCATGCCGATTCTTCATGGCAGCTTGGCATGTGAGCGCCAGCCATGCTGTGTGGGGGATCCTTTGGTGACACGGGACTACACAGTGTCACTTCCATCATACCACTCCGTCATCAGAACCTTCCTCAGTTTCCCAGTGTCTAAAGCATCAAGGCCAGT